CCACCAACTGCCGCTCCGCTAGAGTGAAAAATGAAGTGGATTTCTGACCCCAAATAAATTTTGAAAATCGCCGTCACACCCACAAATATCGTGCTATCGGTATGAAACTCGGACATGACATCGATACGAATGTCTGCTCCGGTAAAATGTTTTCAAAATTTTTCTAGGGCTTACGGTTTTTCCTGTCAAGGTGCTTTAGAGCAAAATCAAGTTCCAGCCTAACTGACGCTCTCCACCATATATTTTCATACTTTTATTGAAAAACACAGACCTCAGCTCACACCATTTTTCTCTCATCGCTGTAATTACTGTGAATGAGCTACAGATATGATTTGCAGGACTATAGGAGACGACAAATAGCTCTCTCATATGCTTCAAACGGTTTTCCGATACGTATCACGGTTCCCGAACGGCAAGGAGTTTGTTCGGGCTGCTTTTTCCATTATAACTGACTGAGCTGTCTCACAAAGATAGAATCTGTCTCTGCCTCACACACATGACTGTTGACCTCTTTAGAACTACAATTCCTGAAGGTTAGAACTACAACATGGCGGAACACTCAGTGCCTACAAAAGAGGTCAGAGCTGATTGTCAGAACTACAACATGGCGGAACTGTCAGTTACTACTGAGGAGGAATGAGCTGGCCTTTAGAATTACATTGTGTTTGGGCTTTTTATAACTGATTTTAACCAACCATTGTTACACACAGTATTTCTGTTGAAATTTTAAATTAAGCTGAATGAAAAATTTCTAAATAAAACCTTGAATATTTCTCAGCCTGTCAGAAAAACTAACTTCTTCAAGAATTTATAATTAAGTCTCTTCTTTTGTGTCACACTGACATGACAGTTGACCTCTTTAGAACTACAATTCCGGAAGGTTAGAACTACAACATGGCGGAACACTCAGTGCCTACAGAAGAGGTCCTAGGTGAAGATAAAAACTACAACATGGTGGAACTGTCAGTTACTACTGAGGAGGACTGAGCTGCTCTTTAGAACTACAATTCCTGAACGTTAGAATACAACATGGCGGAACACTCAGTGCCTACAAAAGAGGTCAGAGCTGATTGTCAGAACTACAACATGGTGGAACTGTCAGTTACTACTGAGGAGGAATGAGCTGGCCTTTAGAATTACATTGTGTTTGGGCTTTTATAACTGATTTTAAGCAACCATTGTTACACACAGTATTTGTGTGGAATTTCAAATTAAGCTTAATAAAAATTTCAAAATAAAAGCCCTGAGATTCTTTTATATCACGTAATTGCTCTCTTGGGCATTATGTGACTTTTTTAACAAACCACTGTTAACTTTGGATTATTTTGGACATTTAAATGAAGCTTAATAAAAATTTCAAATAAAAGCTTGAATATTTCTCTCAGGCCTGTCAGAAAAACTAACTTCTTCAAGCATTTAGAATTAAGTCTCTCCTTGTGTGTCACACTGACATGACAGTTGACCTCTTCTTTAGAACTACAACTCCTGAACGTTAGAACTACAACATGGCGGAACACTCAGTGCCTACAAAAGAGGTCATAGGTGAATATAAAAACTACACATGGTGGAACTGTCAGTTACTGCTGAAGAGGAATGAGCTGGCCTTTAGAATTACATTGTGTTTGGGCTTTTTATAACTGATTTTAACCAACCATTGTTACACACAGTATTTGTGTGGAAACTTTAAATTAAGCTGAATGAAAATTTCAAAATAAAACCTTAAATATTTCTCTCAGGCCTGTCAGAAAAACTAACTTCTTCAAGCATTTACAATTAAGCCTCTCCTTGTGTGTCACACTGACATGACAGTTGATCTCTTCTTTAGAACTACAATTCCTGAACGTTAGAACTACAACATGGCGGAACACTCAGTGCCTACAGAAGAGTCATAGGTGAATATAAAAAACTACAACATGGTGGAACTGTCAGTTACTACTGAGGAGACTGAGCTGCTCTTTAGAACTACAATTCCTGAACGTTAGAACTACAACATGGCGGAACACTCAGTGCCTACAGAAGAGGTCATAGGTGAATATAAAAACTACAACATGGTGGAACTGTCAGTTACTACTGATGAGTAATCAGCTGGCCATGACAAGTACTTTTTTTTTGGGAATTTTAGAACTGATTTCAAAACTCCATAGTTACACATGGGATTAGTGTTACCATTTAAATTAAGCTTAATGTAAATTTCAAAATAAAAGCCTTGACAATTGTTCCATCAAGTAATTGCTCTTTTGACCACTATATAACTGATTTAACCCAATCAGTGTTAAACATGGGATGAGATTGGCCATTTAAATTAATCTCAATGAAAATTTCAAAATAAAAGCCTTAAGATTCCTTTCTGGCTCATGCCTATTTTAGGGAAAATGGCTGCCTCAAACTGATAGAATTAAGTCTCCCCCTGTCTGACTCACAGCTGGCAGAGGATCCATTACCATGGCAACGGAACACAAAGGGGCCAGCTGATTAGGACTACAAAAACGCATCACTGTAGTTCTAACTATGGCAGAACTCAGAGAAAAAGCTGGACTTTAGAACTGCTTGTGTTTTGGGCCTTTTATAACTTTTTTCAACCAACCATTGTTACACATGGAATTAGTGTGGAAATTTTAAATTAAGCTTTAAAAAAAAATTCAAAATAAAAGCCTGAGAATTTTTAGATTAAATCAGTGCTCTTTTGACCATTATGTCTGATTTAACCAAATCACTGTTATACATGGGATTACATTGACCATTTAAAATTAAACATTCTGAACATTTCAAAATAAAAGCCTTAAGATTCGGCCGTGGCTAATGCAGCGCCGCAGGCGCTGCAATGATATTAGCTTGCATCATCTTTTCCTCTCAAGTTAGGGCACTGTCTTGCGCAGCAAGACAGTGCATTAGCATTAGCACAAACATTAGCATTTCTCTGTTTTCCCACCAGTGCACTGCCATAGGCAGTGCAATAAGATTATCCTGCATGATCCTTTCCACTCAGGTTAGGGCTCTGCCTTGCACAGCAAGGCAGAGCATTAGCATTAACCTTTTACCTTGCATGAGGCATTAGCTATTTCCCTTACTTATTACCCATATTTAGTATACTGAATGCAGTAAGTCATGCTTGTGACTCTCCACATTGTATTGATGACATTGCAGCTTTCTTTAGCATGGATGCTAATGTTTAGCATCAGAACGCTGGTCCAAACCGACGGGCACACTTTGGCAGGCCCCGGTTAAATTTCTTCAGGAATTTTCTAGTTATTCTTTATTTTTCTTCCGCCAGCCGGAATGCGGCTCGTACCGCTGCGAGCCCACCCACAAACGTGTATCAAAACGTGCGGCTCGTTCCCGGCATTTGAGCTATTACTTTTGGTGGGATTCGGAGTTACGATAAAAAAGTAAAAAGCGAAAAACCATCAAAAAATTCTTGTCAGTTAGAAACTGCCCAAACTAGAGTGTAATCAACGTTTCGTTAGAGTGTGGGAAGCAGTGCGATTCTGACCCAAATACATTTTGAAATCGCCGTCACGCCACAAATATCACCCTATCGGTATCAAACTCGGTCATGACATAGATATGCATGCCTGCTCCGGTAAAATGTTTTCAAAATTTTTCTAGGGCTTACGGTTTTCTGTCTAGGGGCTTCAGAGCGAAGTGATGCGACAGGATTTCGACTCGCTCAGCCAGGTTCACTTCCATGTATTTCTGAAAAATGTCAGACCTCAGCGCACACCATTTTTATCTCGTCGCTGTTATTAATGTGAGTGATGTACAGATATGAATAGCGGGACTATCGGAGACGAAAGATAGCCCTCTCATACGCTTCAAACGGTTTTTCCGATACGTATCACGGTTTCCGAACGGGAAGGAGTTGTTCGGACCGCTTTTTTCAGTGAAAACTGACTGGGTGTCTCACAAGATAGAATTCTTTCTGTCTCACACACATGACAGTTGCAGAGGATTAATTACCATAGCAACGAAGCACAGCAGGGCCGAGCAGCTGATTAGGACTACAAAAAACGCATCACTGTAGTTTTTACTATGGCAGAGCTCTGAGGAAGGAGCTGGCCTTTAGAATTATAAATTAGAACTACAAAAACGCATCACTGTAGTTTTTACTGTGGCAGAGCTCTGAGGAAGGAGCTGGCCTTTAGAATTATAAATTAGAACTACAAAAACGCATCACTGTAGTTTTTACTATGGCTGAGCTCTGAGGAAGGAGCTGGCCTGTAGACTACTTGTGTTTTGGGCATTTTATAACTGATTTTAACCACCTTTGCTACACATGGGATTAGTGTTAATTAAGTTTAATTAATCTTAATGAAATTAAGTTTAATTAAAATTTCACAAACATTTCACAAGCATTAGCACAAACATTAGCATTCACTGTTCCCCACTAGTGCACTGCCGTAGGCAGTTTAATAACATTATCCTGCATGATCTTTTCCAATCAGGTTAGGGCTCTGCCTTGCACAGCAAGGCAAAGCATTAGCATTAGCCTTTTACCTTAAATGAGGTATTAGCTGTTTCCTTTAATTATTACCATGTTCAATAATTCATGCTTGTGACTGTCCACGTGGCTATTGATGACATCGCAGCTTTCTTTAGCATGGATGCTAATGTTTAGCATCAGAACGCTGGGTCCAAACCGACGGGCACACTTTGGCAGGCCCCGGTTAAATGTATTCAGAAATTTTCTAGGGTAGGGTTAGTTTCTCCATTAATGTTTGCTGAGAGCAAGCAGTCAGTGGAGGGGATGTATTTTCCTTTTGCTATAATTTTATCTAGTGTACAAGTAAATTGATGCTGAGCAGAAATAGTATGCTGAAATAAAAATTATATTCAATTTAATTTGTAGGACTTCAAGAAAAGTAAAGTCCCCAAAACTAAGAAAATAATTGATATAATCTCAAGTTGCGTCATTTGTGTGTCTGGAGGTGAACAGTTTCTCTAAACCATCCAGAAAGACTTTCTGAAAGCTGAGATGACCTGAAGCATGAGGAGAGACTCCATGAGACTCGGATGAATCTTTATTTCCTGATGCGATCATAGAAAACAACATTGACATCAAATAAAAATATCTTTTGATTTAAAGTTCGTCGTCACACCCAGAAAAATAAACGCAGGCCCCGCCCCCTTACATCAATCAACCCTCCAGCCAATGGCAGTCGAGGAGGGGCGGAGCCATGCCTTGAAGAGTGACGACAGAAACAACATGTCATTGGTCAGCCCAGTCACATAGTGCAGGATAAACAGTCATGTGATCAGGAGGATCATTTATGTACAGAGAACGTTCTGGAGTTTCCTGTCTGCAAAGCTTCATGGGTCATAATTCAAATAGGGTTTTAGCCCCGCCCACCACGCTGAATAAAAGAAAAGATCAGCATGTCAGAAAGAAAACTCCAGAACATCAACGCCACCAGGAGGAGGAGCCAGGGACCACCGGACCTACAGGAGGCGGAGCCAGGGACCACCCGACCTACAGGAGGCGGAGCCAGGGACCACCCGACCTACAGGAGGCGGAGCCAGGGACCACACGACCCACAGGAAGCGGAGCCAGGGACAACCCGACCTACAGGAGGCGGAGCCAGGGACCACCCGACCTAGAGGAGGCGGAGCCAGGGACCACCCGACCTACAGGAGGCGGCCAGGGACCACCCGACCTACAGGAGGCGGAGCCAGGACCACCCGACTTACAGGAGGCGGAGCCAGGGACAACCCGACCTACAGGAGGCGGAGCCAGGGACCACCCGACCTACAGGAGGCGGAGCCAGGGACCACCCGACCTACAGGAGGCGGAGCCAGGGACCACACGACCCACAGGAGGCGAAGCCAGGGACCACACGACCTAGAGGAGGCGGAGCCAGGGACCACCCGACCTAGAGGAGGCGGAGCCAGGGACCACCCGACCTACAGGAGGTGGAGCCAGGGACCACCGGACGGCGGTCTTAAGACGTTAGTGTCGTCAGACGGTTGGTGGGGCTCTGAAGCCCCGACAGGGACTCATAATGTTCTGGCCCAAGGAACCGGGTAAACAGAGACTCTGAAGTTCTGCTGAAGCCTCCATCAGACCTCATGTCAGAACCAAACCTTTAGGTTCTGCTCAGCGGACACCTGCCAGGTTTTCCATTGACAGGCAGAGCTGAACAGGTCACACCCACACACAGAAATGGTCGGGTCTGAATGGAGCTTCGGGTTCTGCAGATACCTTCAGAAGTCGGGTCCAGTTCCATCAAACAGAACCACACGGAGCAGCATGAGGAAATGCTGAGTGATCGGTGTGGAGACATTCTTCAGGTTCTGCTGGTGAGAGAAATGTTCTGGTCCACAAAATGGCTTCTTGAATCTTCCAGAACCTCCTTCCTGCTGCTCAAGATCTTTAAGGCAACTTTGAGAACAAAATAAACTCGAATCTCTGGTAGAAAAGTCATGCTGCATTCAGGGACTCGCAGAGGCTGGGAAAGCCCATCATCAGGACACAGTCGACACGAGAACTCGGCCAAAGGAACTGAAACTCAGAAATCCTGGTTCCTCATCAGGACCCAGTTTCTGAGCAGCAACGGTTCTGATGGTCCGAGTCTGAAGGTCCAGACTTGGTGTCTGTGACCCGGCTGTGTCCCAAATCCAAGACAATCTCTGGAATTTGAGTCTGTCCAAGTCGGAGTGTCAGGGAAAGGTCAGAGTGCAACGGAGAAAGGTCAGATACGTACTAGGATACCGTCCCAGTGCGAGCGAGCGTGCAGCGCCGCTCAGCTCTGACCTTTCCCTGAAAAGATCCAGTCCAGGACCTGACCTCTGTGACCTCTGTGACGGTGGGCCTGCGGCAGCCTCAGCGACTCTCAGAAACAATGTGAAGGCAACAGTCATGTCAGGTTACCGTGGCAACCACAGCCAAACAGACGGCTTCTCGCTCGGCGTCCATCAGAGCCGCTCGGCGTCCATCAGAGCCGCTCGGCGTCCATCAGAGCCGCTCGGCGTCCATCAGAGCCGCTCGGCGTCCATCAGAGCCGCTCGGCAACATTCGCCCGCTTTTTCATTTAGAAACAGACGTGAATTTCATCTTTTTCCAGCTCAGACACTCCCTGAACCCGGTCCGATGCGGTCAGAACCACAGCAGGCGCTAGACCCTAAAGTCAGAGTTCACCAATGGTTCGACGTTCTCCAGGCAGAAACAGTCCGACGTTCCTGAAACCAGAACCCTTAAAGACCATCTGTTCTGAGAACAATCCAGCCTAAGCGCTCCGGTTCTGGTCCAAAAACAAGTTTTAGCAAAGTCCATTGTGGATCAACCAGTTGCCATGGCAACCAGAACCAGTTCAGCGGTTCTGATCGAACCCGCCTCACCAGAACCGATCATTGGCAACGGAGGAATATTTACATGTTTGAAGTCCAGGCAGAGGAATGTGAGCGCCCCCTGCAGGCAGAGGAATGTGAGCGCCCCCTGCAGGCAGAGGAATGTGAGCGCCCCCTGCAGGCAGAGGAATGTGAGCGCCCCCTGCAGGCAGAGGAATGTGAGCGCCCCTGCAGGCAGAGGAATGTGAGCGCCCCCTGCAGGCAGGAAGCAGATGCTGCTCAGCGATTGGTCCGTTGCAGGGAAGGCGTGGCCTCCAGTGCGGCCAATCGGAGCTCGGTCTGTAAAACGATCTTAATCCGACCCAAGTCGGGTCAGGAACGTCTGGAGCAAATCCAGGATAAATGAACGGAATCCCAACGTTCCGGCTGCGCCGACCTTTCACCCCGATTCTCAGACCGGCGTGGCGCTGATCAGCGTTGCCATGGTTACAGAGAACCAATCAGCTTCAGTTTCTGGTTCCGGTCAGTTCCGGACGCTTCGGGTTCCCTGCGTCGTCCCGCGTCATTCTGATGAAGATGAGGGCTTAAATGAGGATGAAGGCCGTCCAGCTGGCATCATCATCTTCGCGGGCTTTAGTCCAGCAGGTGGCGCTGCGAAAACGCCTCAGGATTCGGTCCAAAGGGAGTCTGAGACCCGGGATCAGGGCTTCTGTGGGCCCGGGGACAGAACCACCGGGGTGGAGAGTCCGTCCACGCTCAGCGCCGGGATGTGGATCTGGTTGCTGCCGTTGGCCGGAAACTGCAGAGGAACAGAGACGAGTCAGAACCAGAACCAGACTTCTGGAGGAACGGGTCAGAACCAGACATGCACGGTTCTTCCTGCAGTGGAAAAACAAACAGATCCCTCCAGAGGAAGACCTGGAGAGACAGTCCGGGTCTCCGATGGACTTGGGGGGTTCTGGAGAGATCCAGGACCTGTTCTGAATCCTCACAGACATAGAAGGATGTGTGTGCAGGTCCAGCTCAGGTTCCAAGCCACCAGAGGAACCAGAAGAACACCCGAGTTCTGCTGAGTGGCACGCAACTAGGCCTTTCACGATAAATGATAAATCAATTAATCGCACAATAAATTAAAACTATCAACGTCATTTCAATTATCGTCTATATCGTTTCTTCCTGCCTTTCTCTTACTGTTGATGACACTGAATGAAAAAAGGCTCAACTCCACTGACCCTCCCTTCCTTATTTCTTAGAGTAATGCCCAGCGCGCTGCACCATCTGATGTCGCCGATTGTCGCCCTTTATCAAAACCTGAGAGACACATTAGCCGACAGAAATACTCGCTATAACGGTTCGATCGAACCGTGTTGTGTCCAACAATGGACACAAAATAAGTCCAGTTCACTAACTTTGAAACCAGGCATTAATCAATTCCTTACTATAATCTACCTGCAATGCATGTAGCTAGTGTCAGTCTGACTGAATGAAAATCATTATAAACTATTTATGTCACCTTAACGAAGAACAGCTGAAAAGTTACCAGGTTTTCTGCTAGAAATTTCGCTCCAACTCCTCCCCTAGTTATTTATATTTTCTTTGCATGAAATGTTGAATAAACATTCATGTTGTTTCCGATGTCTGCTGGACTTCGGGTTGCACCGTGTCAGCTGTTCGGGATTCCCTCCGTGTTTCCCCTCAGAAAGCAGGAGGAGAATCCGCGCTTTCTGATTGGCTACCGTCACATTCAACAGGCTGCGTCACTCTCCCATTGTGGATAAATCCTTGATTTAGATCGGAGCAACGATCTACCGTAACACACAACGATCTACCGTAACACACAACGATCTACCGTAACACACGACGATCTACCGTAACACGACGATCTACCGTAACACAGAACGATCTACCGTAACACACAACGATCTACCGTAACACACGACGATCTACCGTAACACACGACGATCTACCGTAACACACGACGATCTACCGTAACACAGAACGATCTACCGTAACACAGAACGATCTACCGTAACACACGACGATCTACCGTAACACGACGATCTACCGTAACACACAACGATCTACCGTAACACACAACGATCTACCGTAACACAGAACGATCTACCGTAACACACAACGATCTACCGTAACACAGAACGATCTACCGTAACACAGAACGATCTACCGTAACACACGACGATCTACCGTAACACACAACGATCTACCGTAACACAGAACGATCTACCATAACACACAACGATCTACCTTAACACAGAACGATCTACCGTAACACAGAACGATCTACCGTAACACAGAACGATCTACCGTAACACACGACGATCTACCGTAACACAGAACGATCTACCGTAACACACGACGATCTACCGTAACACACTAGTGACAATCTCAGAACGAAGAACGTTCTTAGATTGTCGTTCTGGGTAATAAATCCTGTAGTTTGAACTATTGCATCATTCAGTCGATTCTTCTCTATTTAAATCTAATTATTACTGAAGGGCAATAAACTATACAGACTTCATAATCTGCACTCTTTTGGTTGAATGCAGTGTTTATTTCCACTTTGGCTTCATGTTGTTTAGTTTTTATTCAAGTACATTTATTGTTAATGCCACTAAATCAATGTAAAAAGGTCTTCAAACAATATTATCGTTTATCGCAATAATTTTTGAGACAATATATCGGCCAGCAAACTCTCTTATTGTGACAGGCCTACACGCAACACATTGATCAGGTCCAGTTGATCAAAACCGATCAGCACCAATAATCATCAGATCAGCTGCTTTCAGTCTGGAGTTAAAGTAGCTCAGGGTTTTGGCTGTTTGTCAGTTTTCTGGAAGTTTGTTCCAGATCTGTGGAGCATAGAAGCTGAATGTTGCTTTTCCATGTTTGGTTCTGGTTCTGACGCAGAGCAGAACCAGAACCAGCAGGTTGATCCAGCAGCAGATCTTTAATCTGTTCAGTGATTTATAAACTAGCAGCAGTTTAAAGCCTCAGTGAAGGACTGTAGAACCGGCGTTGTCGCCATCTCTCGGTTCTAGTCAGAACTCCAGCAGCAGCGTTCTGGACCGTTGGTGTGACAGTCATGGTGCTGTGGGCTAGGTCTATTACCTGGAAGGACAGCTTGGCTGGTGAGCGCGGGGCGATAGGACTGAGCGTGCTCCAAAGTGGATGGTGGAGGGAAGAGCACTGGGCGTCAGCAGCACCGGGGTCTGAAAAACATGAACACAGAACCTTCCAGAACTTTTCAGAACCGTCTGGAGACATTAGGCTGTTTACAGTCAGGTGGGAAAGTCAGTCATCGACAGGAGCTGCTTGGTCTCCACGGCACTTCCTGTTCAGAAACATTAAACCACAGAGCGAGGCGTGCAGGACATCTCTGTTGCCACGGCAATCTCCTCGCTCAAGGATTTAATGCAGGAAAACTTTCTGAGCTCCTGGTGGAGGTTCTGAAGAACGCCGCGGTTAGCTAGAACGCCGCGGTTAGCTAGAACGCCACAGTTAGCTAGAACGCCGTGGTTAGCTAGAACGCCACAGTTAGCTAGAACGCCACAGTTAGCTAGAACGCCGCGGTTAGCTAGAACGCCACAGTTAGCTAGAACGCCACGGTTAGCTAGAACGCCACAGTTAGCTAGAACGCCGTGGTTAGCTAGAACGCCGCGGTTAGCTAGAACGCCACAGTTAGCTAGAACGCCGCGGTTAGCTAGAACGCCACAGTTGCTAGAACGCCGTGGTTAGCTAGAACGCCGCGGTTAGCTAGAACGCCACAGTTAGCTAGAACGCCACGGTTAGCTAGAACGCCACGGTTAGCTAGAACGCCGCCGTTAGCTAGAACGCCATGGTTAGCTAGAACGCCGCCGTTAGCTAGACCGCCCGGATAGCTAGAAGCCCACAGTTACTAGAACCACGCGGATAGCTAGAACGCCACAGTTAGCTAGACCACCGCGGATAGCTAGAACGCCACAGTTAGCTAGACCACCGCGGATAGCTAGAACGCCACAGTTAGCTAGACCACCGTGGATAGCTAGAACGCCACAGTTAGCTGGAACGCCACAGATAGCTAGAACGCCACACAGTTAGAAAGCCGCGGTTAGCTAGAACGCAGCAGTTAGCTAGAATGCCGTGGTTAGCTAGAACGCCACAGTTAGCTAGAACGCCGCGGTTAGCTAGACCACTGCGGATAGGTAGAACGCCATGGTTAGCTAGAACGCCACAGTTAGCTAGACCACCGGGTTTAGCTAGAACATCACAGTTAGCTAGACCACTGCGGTTAGCTAGAACGCCACAGTTAGCTCGAACGCCGCGGTTAGATAGACTGCCTAGGTTAGCTAGACTTGCGCAGTTAGCTAGAACGCCGAGGTTGGATAATCGGCATGGTTTGCTAGAACGGCGCGGTTAGGTAGACTGCCGAGGTTAGCTAGAACGCCGCAGTTAGCTAGAACGGCGTGGTTAGCTAGAACGCCCAAGCCAGCTAGACCGGCGCGGTTAGCTAGAATGCCGAGCTCAGCTACAAGAATATGAGTCACTGAGAATCTGATCAGAACCATGCGACGTTGCTCTGGTCCAGCTTACCAGGGCGTGGGAGGTGATGACGGTCGGCGTCAATGTGTTGGCGGCGCCCGGTGCCAACAGACTGTTGACAGCGGCGTTCACCTGCAGGGGGACAGGAAGTGATGTCAGAGCTGTGACAGACGGACCAGTGGATCATGCGACCCGGATCATCAGAACCTTATCCAGGGAGAGGCCGGGCGGCAGGGAGGGTGAGGACGAGGACGGCAGCTCCAGGATCCGGGGCTTCTTGGGTTTGGGCAGCCCGGCGCAAGATGGTGAGGTTGATGCCGAAGATGAAGAGGAGCACGTTGCTGTGGCAACAGAGGGCTCTGACGGGAAACGGAGATGAGCCCAGAGAAGAAGCAACAGAACCGGCAGCTGAACCGGCTGGGCCGGGTTCTGGTCTGACATGGGAACCAGGAAGTCACCTGCTAGAGAGTCCTTGGCCCCGCCCACTTCCACCCTCCTGGCGTCCGGCCCCGGAGGCGGGGGGCTCTCCACGATGGTGATGGGCGGTTCTGATTCTGCTGGGCCACAGATGAGCTGGGGAACCTGGACACGTCAGAGGAGATTTGGTCACACACCACTTCCATCGGAACCAGAACCGGGCCTTCTGGGTACGGCGGCGCCGGCCCTCACCTGGTCCGCCTGCTTCCTCGGCAGGGTCACCATCTCCAGCAGCTCCTCCTCCGACGGCAGGTTCTCCTCCTTGATGACGACGGGCGGAGGCGACGGGTTGATGATGACAAAGACAGGTGAGGCGCGGGGGCCGCGGGGTCGTCCAGTAGGGGCGCCGGCGGCCCGTCGGGGACGGAGTCTGGACCTTGGGTCCCGCCGGGAGCCAGGGGCAGGAGGGGGGCAAAAGGAGGCGAGTCGCCCACCCCGGTGAGGTAGATGTGGGGGGGGTCGCTGAGAGGAGGGCCGGGGGGGTTCTGTGGAGGACAGATGGAGAGCGGGTCGATCAGAACCGGGTCAGAACTAAAATGCAAAGGCAGACGGAGCTGACCTGTGACTGGCCGCTGGCTGAGGCCTGCGGGCTGAGCGCCGGGTGGGGCGAGGCCTGGGGGGCGAGCTGCAGGCAGTCCACAGCGCCACCAGCTGGAGGGAGGGCTGGCCTTCTGGCAGCAGGCTCACCTGAGAGGAAGACACGATGAAGAGCACCGCCCCGCTGGCTGAGGAAGAGGAGCGAAGAAGAGGCCTCACCTCTCTGGCCTTGGGTTGGGGTCCGGCTGCAGCAGGAGCTCTGATTTGATTGGCCGGGGGTTGGGCGGGGCCTGCAGGGATTGGATGGTGAAGGTGGAGTAGAGGCCGGACTTCATGTAGTCGTTCCTGGAGCTCTTCTGGGCGCCGCCGGGCCCAGGCGCTGCGGGTGACACTTTGTCATGACCACCGGCCACAACCAGGTTACATGATAACAAACAAGGCGCCGTACCTGGGCCGAGCCCTTTGACTGGCAGACTGAGGCCACGGCCCCGAGGCCCTTCTGCTGGCCGATTGGGTCGCCGGCGTCTTTCTTCAGGAGCTCCTCGGCGCCGCGAGGCCCGTCTGCCAGCGCCGGGTCGGGCTGGCTCACAAACTTATAGACAAACTTCTGACCGCTAACCTTCTTGATGATGTTCTGCAAGAAGACAACAGCGGCATCAGGAACCAGGTTCTGGTTCTGAGTTACTTAGATCTGCTGTACTCCCCTGCTCATCAACACGTTGACCTGGTAGCAGTAGAACCGCCAGGCTTCCCCCAGAGTATTGTAAGCCTGGCGGGCCGCCATGCTCTATGTTGCCCCCGCCAGGTTAAGCTTTTTTTATTACACCGAAAAAAATTTAATAATTTATTTCTTTTATTAAGCTGGACTATAAATGTCTCTTCTGCAGAGAACATTTCACTGGCAGGGCAGAAAGATGGGTTTATAGTTTCTATAGTTTTTAATACGGACTGGGGCTTCAGCTCTGCTCACCTCGTAACTAGCGCAACATGCTGGCTTGTTTTTATTTATTTTTTTGGGCAACATAAATATTTTGTCTACCTGGAGTCAGTAAGTTGCCGCATGGGGATCAGAGCAACTCGTCCCACGAAGCCCGGGCAACCAGAACATGATTGGCTCTCAAAGAGCCGATACGGATCCTTAGAGCCAAATGGAACCTGCTAAACCCACACAAACTGAACCGCAGTCTGTCCCTCATCATGCAGCAGGTCTCATCACGCAGCAGGTCTCATCACGCAGCAGGTCTCATCACGCAGCAGGTCTCATCACGCAGCAGGTCTCGTCATGCAGCAGGTCTCATCATGCAGCAGGTCTCATCATGCAGCAGGTCTCGTCATGCAGCAGGTCTCGTCATGCAGCAGGTCTCATCATGCAGCAGGTCTCATCATGCAGCAGGTCTCATCATGCAGCAGGTCTCATCACGCAGCAGGTCTCATCACGCAGCAGGTCTCATCATGCAGCAGGTCTCATCATGCAGCAGGTCTCATCATGCAGCAGGTCTCATCACGCAGCAGGTCTCATCACGCAGCAGGTCTCATCATGCAGCAGGTCTCATCATGCAGCAGGTCTCATCATGCAGCAGGTCTCATCACGCAGCAGGTCTCATCATGCAGCAGGTCTCATCATGCAGCAGGTCTCATCACGCAGCAGGTCTCATCACGCAGCAGGTCTCATCATGCAGCAGGTCTCATCACGCAGCAGGTCTCATCATGCAGCAGGTCTCATCACGCAGCAGGTCTCATCATGCAGCAGGTCTCATCATGCAGCAGGTCTCATCACGCAGCAGGTTTCATCATGCAGCAGGTCTCATCATGCAGCAGGTCTCATCATGCAGCAGGTCTCATCATGCAGCAGGTCTCATCATGCAGCAGGTCTCATCATGCAGCAGGTCTCATCATGCAGCAGGTCTCATCATGCAGCAGGTCTCATCACGCAGCAGGTCTGACTGACTGCCAGTTTCCTAAGATTTATTAACCAACAGCTAAATAGCATCTGATTGTTGCTATGGTAACAAAGCAATCTAACTGTAAAGATTGATCTTTGAACTTTTACAAAGTAAACTCGGTAGCTCCTTAAAATCTTAAATTTAAATGTTAAACCATTGAACCAAATTTAGCTGCACTGATAATCTCTTAGTACATTTCTACCTTGGGCCAGCATCACCTTTTTAGATCCACTGACTGCTGATTTAAATTGGCTCTAACAGAAGTTCAAATAATTGATATTTATTTGAATTTTATGATTTGTTGTTTTTAAGATTTGTGGGTTTAAGGACTGTCAACAATGACTTCCAGTAACTTAATTACCCAGTAATATTTTATATTTCCTTACAATCTTTAAATACCAAAACAAGGTGGACGGCGGCAGCGCCCAAACCGCCGCAGCGCCCAAACCGCCGCAGCGCCCAAACCGCCGCAGCGCCCAAACCTCCGCAGCGCCCAAACCGCCGCAGGACCCAAACCGCCGGACTGAGCAGGTTCACTGGGAAGCCCTGCGTAGCTACGCTCACCTTGTCGTAGTAGTAGCGTAACGCGCGGCTCAGCTTGTCGTAGTTCATGTTGTGCTTGTTCTTGCGCAGCCCCCAGAGGCGGGCCACCTCCTCTGCGTCCAGCAGCTTGAACTCTCCGTCCTCGCCGGTCCAGGAGATCAGGTGGCGCTGGTGCTGGTCCTCCAGCAGGTGCAGCAGGAACTGCCACAATGTGATGGACGGGTCCAAAGCTGGAGGAGCAGAGAGAAAGGTCAGACAAGGACTGGTCCAGAACCAGAGCTGCCAGTTTGAAGTTAAAGTAGAGCTGCACTCTTCAGAAGCCAGAAATGAAACGAAATCGCTCCATCAGAACTCAACCAGAACACAATATCAGCCCGGCATCGTTCTGATCCGACTGATCCAGAACTGGCCAGTTTACACAGGATGCTGCATGTAAGTAATATCTGAATGATCAGAACAATAATCAATAGTGTTATTAATTCTCACTTCATCGTCTCATCAGTTCAACACAAACGTTGAAGTAATTAGTAAAACTCCGACAGACCGCCGGACCGTGTGGGAACATCCTGATGCTAACAGCAGCTCCGCCAGCAGAACCACAAATGGATCAACATGTTTCAGCACAAGCATAAAACGGAGCAAATCCAGCTGAAAGTTCTGGTTCTGATCCATTCGGGCCCTTCTGTGTGTCCTGTCTCATTGAAAATGAAAATTTCCCTGACCCGGTTCTGATCCAACACAGGCTCAGTTGCTGGCATTACAAACACATTCAGCAATCAGTTGATTATTAGTTTAATCATGAAACAGGTTTATGTCATTCCTGGCCGGGTTCTAATACAACTGGGTTTTCAGTTTCCACCAGAACCAGCTGCTGGTCTCCAGTGAGGAAGAGGAGAAGATGCTCCCCTCCAGAACCATCTAGACCCAGAACTATAGCGGTCCTGCACAGACAGGGGGCTGCAGGGTTCTTCGTTGCCCAGAACCAGAGGGAATAATCCTCTCATCTGAATCAAAGTGGGTCAGAACTCCACCGGCAGCAAATGGTTCTGCTGGTTCTGATCCGGCTCCGTCCAGCCGAGACGGTTCTGGCATGCGTTTCAGAGTCAGGGAGCCCGTGGGTCACAGCGTGGTCAGCGTGAACCAGTCCGACCCTCACACAGGGTTTCCCCCAGTGCATTATAAGTCTGGGGGCCCGCCAGGCCTTACTTGCCGCCCCGCCAGGCCAAGTGCTGCTTGGTTTTGTTTTTAGGAAAGAGAAACCAAAAAACACTTTTATATTTTAATCTGGATTACAAGTGTTGCTCTGAGCGTTTTCACTGGCAGAGCAGATTTATTCCTAAAAGGCAAGTTTATAGTTGATGCATCCAAAGCCGGGACAGCGACCAATCACAGCTGGCGCCTCAGCCACTGCTTGCTCTGTGAAGTTGACCTTTCACTCAAACTGGACAGGCTGACCTGTATGCATATCTACATCAACCCCTTGTGAGGAATCATGATTCTTTAAGTTTAACCCCACCGCGTTAGCTCTGGCTGCGCAGCTCTATGAAGCGCAGGAATAACTTGAAATCGCTGTCAGAGGTGTGTTGAGGAGCCTGAGAGGGATTTATCTTTGTGTATGGCGTTTCCATCTCAGCAGCTGCCCACCGGGTGGGCTGTCTTCCCAGTAAAGTTTATGTCTGTGCTCCCGGTTGGCCGGAGCGTTAGCGCTTAGCGAACCAGCGCTAAGCTCATCGTGCAGGTTCAGCCGGTGAGGAGCTTTCAGTTCTCCTGGCGGTCTCGCATCACGCTGCTTTTATACTGTTTTATAGTTTTAGTTTGATTTTTCCGGTTACACGAAGCTACAGCCATGTCAAATGCTTTGTCCACTTAGTTAAAGACAGATCTGAAAATCTCGTCCCATAAACTCAGGCGACCAGAACAGTTTCTGTGACTCGTATTAAAACTGGACAGATAGAAATGTTAGAGCTGCTAGAGCTCTAACATTTCTGTTAACGTTTTAGCGGTTCATTGAATTAAATCTGTTTGTTGCTCCTCTCTGCAGTGCAGCAGGTTGAACTCATCCTGCAGGGCCGGTCCAAGGCTGCATGAGGCCCGGGGCAGAGCCTGACTTTGGGGCCCCTCTTGCTGCTAGAACATCAGAACCTCTAGCAGCTTCTGTTGGATTTAATCTGGGAGATTAAAGTAGATTAACTGGCCAACCTGACAACTATAATTACAGTTTATTCATTTGTATTTGTGAACAAACGGCTCAAACTCAAAGATTAACCTCGCAGCATCAGATTGTTGCTATGGTCACAATCTAACTGTGGATGTTGCTCTTTGAAGTTTTACAAAGTAAACTTGCCAGCTCCTTAAAATCTTATATTTAAATGTTAAACAATTTAAAATATTTTACTTTATGCTGAAACCATTAAATCAACTTTAGTAGCATTTATAATCTCAATAAACAAATGTTCCATTTATACATCTGTGGTTTTTGTTCAAATATGATCATTTATGGCCCCTGAAGCCCGGGGGCCGAGGGACCCGCTGCCTTCATGTGGATTAAACACAAGTGCAAATAATTAATATTCATTTTAATTGCATTTTTTGATTTGCTGTTTTTCAGACTAGTTGTGGTTTAAATAGTTTCAGTGGAGATGTTTTCCTGTAACATCCAGTAATATTTTTACATTTCCTGTCTAATCAACATCTTTCATACAAAAACACTCAGCAGGTTAACTGGGGGAACCTGCTGACCCGACTCGACCCGACTGGCTGCTCAAACCACGAGGAGAACCAGAGAACAGGCCCGTGTTCGGATCAGAACCGGGCCTGGCGGCGCCTCTCCTGCCATCATCTCATCTAACAACATGAAAGCATCAGCGTTGCCATGGTAACATGCTAATATTGCATCACAGACGAGAGAGTTTGCTGATCAACAAGATGAAGAGCGACATCCTCTTCCTCCTCAGGCTGATCGGATCATAACAATAATCACTCAGCCAGCATTTGGGATGATGGAAAAATGAACGTTCATTAATGTTTTTGTTCAGGCAGAAAGGAAGCTGCTGCATATGGCTGAAAATCACCAACAGCGATTAATCACAGAAAATCGATCTTTATCAACCAGAATCATCTTTGGGTCGTGAAGAAATTTGACTCCAGCTGCATTAAACTGGAGAAATGCTCATTTAGCACTTCTGTCCTTTATTTAAAGCAGGTTAAAGCATTTTCACCCTGACTCAGGCCTTCAGTTTCAGGCTCGTCTGTAAGCTGAACGGAAGCTGAAGCGGTTTCAGCGTCACCAGCACACGGACACAGCGCCACCTGAAGCCGCAGGCTCACCTGTTGCTACCTGCTTACCGTTAATCAGCGGGTTGGACTCCATCTTCTGAGCGGGTTCAGCCTGGGCTGCAGTCACACCGCCTCCATGCTGCGGCTGTCGGCGTCGTGTCGCTGCTGCTGCGGGTCTGTTTGCGTGCAAAGTGTCACAGCGGAGCTGAAGAGGAGGCGGAGGAGGAGGAGACGTTCAGCCGCTTCTCTGCCGACCTGCTGTCGTTATGTAACCGCTCCGAGCCGCCGCGGCGGGGCTCCGCAGCCTCCATGCTAACTGTCCTCTGGGGAGCACAGCGTCCAAGGAAAGCAGCCCCACTATCAGCGAATCCTTCTGGGCTCACCTGCGGCGGTCCTGGACGGATCCGCGCTCCGGGTCGTTCTGCCGCAAACAAACCTGCTGACAAAGCCCGCTAGAACGATAAGACAACTGCTTCCACCGCAAAATCAAAGCAAAATAAAGTATTTTATCTTCTCAGAGACTGAAAACAAATATATTACAAATCAAAGTCCTAATGCTTTTAGAAAAGTTTCGCAAGTTCAAGGTCCAGTCACAACAGAAGCTGTTACTTTAGCCTAGCCTGCTCTACCAAGGAGCTGTTAGCCTAGCATAGCCTAGCTCAGCCTAGCCATCTGCTCCAGTACTGAGCTGTTAGCTTAGCCCCCCGCCTCTCGGTCTGCGTCAGACCCGAAACATCTCCAGAGATTCCCGGGACCGTCCACGCACCTCCAACACGGAGCAAAAGAAACGGAGAAGGTCCAGTTTCTGATTCGATAGATGTGTTCGGGGATAACGACTGAACTCTTCAACACAAGCACAGTAACGGCGGTAAAGACTGGGGTTCCGGTGGCGTCTTTCAAAATAAAAGTTCAAAAAGGCGCAGCTAAAGATTAATTTAAACTCAGTGTATCTTTATGGTATGCTGCATTGTTTGATTTTATGTTACTGTACTTCTTTCAAGCATCATTGAGTGTTTAGGAAATACAAAATAAGATGTATCATGACTATTTACAGAAGGAATCATACGATTCTGAGTAAAAACTAATAATGTTATGTTGTTTTCAGCTCCAGCTCCTACAGATCCCCTTAGGGGACATGCAGGGGTTTTTTCTTTTGCATTCCCTCGCAGTAATGTCCAGGGCTCTCATGTATGAAATGGTTCTGTGGACAAGAATAAAGTAGAGAGACAAAACTCATCAAAATCCACTGAAATGATTCAGTTATTTAGACCAGGAAGCATCAAACCCAATGATTTTATTTTCATATTTTATTGTTTAGATGATGAAACTGAACCGATTTATCCTCAGACAATAAGCCAGCACAAAATAAAGAAAAGAAAATAAAGATGTGAAAACATCACAACATGTAAATAATACATTTATTCAGTTTGTCTCATAAAGACAAAACGATTCGTCTGAATGAATCAATGACTGATTTATTCAAGAGAAACCAGGCTGATCGATAGGTTTGATTACTGGGTGATCAATAGGTTTGATTACTGGAGGTGATCGATAGCTTTGATTACTGCAGGTGATCAATAATCTCAGGTATAGCTGCTCCTGTGGCTCTGATGGAGAACATGGAGCCATTGATCAGAGATCATATTGATCTGCTGGTTTATTGGCGTTTAGATTGATCCAGACTGATCATCCTGGGACTCTGAGCAGAACTTGAAGCAGGTTCTGGTCCTGGTTCTGGTCCCGGTCCCGGTCCGGTCCCGGTTCTGGTCCTGGTTCCGGTCCTGGCTCCGGTCCCGGTCCCGGTCCCGGTTCCGGTCCCGGTCCGGCTGGCCCGCCTTGTGGACAGAAACATCTCTACCCTGTAGCTTCTGCTCTGCTTCCTGTGTTCAGGTTTAAAGCGGCTGCAGGTTCTGCTGCTCCGTCTGGCTGCAGGTCTCATCATTTATGTGGAGTTTAGTCTTTACAATTTATTATTTGGATTTCTGTGACCTTATGCGCCCCGAGAGCAACTTGGAAATCAAATATAGAATCGTTATTATGCTAAAGACGTGTACTGCGACAAAGACGTTGCCATGGCTTCACGTGGCGGCAGACTTCCTGGTATTTATACTAATTTACATTAATATGTATTTAGGGAGGCGACGGGCGGAGCAGCAGCTGCTCTGCTTCCTGTAAATTAGGATTTAGAAAGGAAAGGCGCCGGCCCGCAGGCTTTATACATCTGGACTCGTTTGTGCGCCGCACTTTTCTAAATTTGTCCTAGTCCAAGTTTTAGTGTGAAAACTGAGTGTTTGATGCATGGGGCCTCTGTGCTGTGAGCCTTTCTTACAGCCGTCCTACTTTCTGCTGTTCCAGGTTTTCAGGAGCTTTTTCCATGTATGTCTCGTTTATCTGGACTTTCAGTTCAAGCCACTTTCAACACAATGAACTTTGACCCCAAGGAGCAGACACTTCCCGACAGGAGATACAGAGCTTTACTTTGAAGGGAAGCCCGTGTGTTTCGATATAGTTTCCGGTGGGAGCGGGACGTTTGACGCAGGACCGTTTCTGCGGCAACAGGATGGAGACGTCATCAGGAGCTGCTGCTGCCGAGGAGCCGCAGAGCAAGGCAGAGAAAAGCCTCGGTGAGAATTGAACCAGATGAATTTAATCTGGTTTTATTTTCCAATTCGTCTTGATCTGGAAATAAAACTTCTAGACTCATTCTGCAATCCCGGAAAATAATAAACATCAGAAACTTAGGAATGAAAATAACAATAACTGGAATGATCAACAAATCTGAATTTTAAAAACTATTAAGAGTAAAAACCAACAGATAAATAAACAAAATATGTGAAGAATTCATAAAAGTATCAGAACAAGAAAATCAATTTTAGCTCAGAAGAGTTGGTCAGAATTTCTTTCCAGAAATAAAAGACAAATTACAAAGCATAACGATCCAGGTGAAAATGAACTTTGACCCCAGGAGGCAGCTGAGCTGGAAAAGGTCCAAACTATTTCAGTTCTGGTCTGACCCGGTTCAGTCCATTCTCATGGCAAACGGTTTGCTGCCGCAAACCGTTACCGCAAACCGTTACCATGGAAACAAGCTCCAGGTTGCCAAGCATCTGTGAGAACAGCCGAGACCCGACAGTACCGGACCGGTTACGGACCGGTCTGGACCGGTTCCAAACCGTCTGGAACCGGTTCCGGACCGGTTCCGACCGGTCCGGAACAGGAACTTCTACAGGTCAATGGAAATCCAGAACAAAGTTTTTAGATATCCTGAAATGTTTCACAAAAACAATATTTACAAAATATCAGATTTAAGAAAATCTGACAAAACTAAAATATTTATTTTATTTATAAAGTATCAAAGTGCTGAGAATTCAACATCTTCTCAGTTTTTACAACATAAATAATAAGAATTATAAAACATACTAAATAGCCCAACCGAACCAGAACCGGACCAGAACCGAACCAGAACCTTAGCAGAACCGTAGCAGAACCGGACCTGCCTGCAGGGTTCAATAACCAGAATGGTTCTAATTCATCTGGAGTATAAACAGGATCTGCTGGAAATCAGCATAAAATAAACTTCAAAACATTTTAGGTTCTGTCAATTTGCATGAGTGACTAGAAATGATAAAATAAGGAGAAACATGTTCGAATGAAAAACACACTAAATAACATCGAAAGGAAAAATAAAATACTTCATTGATCCCTTAAAGGAGGGAAATTCTGTTTGTCCTTGGATACTACACAATAAAACAGTCAAAAAATAAACATACAATAAATAATCAATAAATGAACCAAAACAACAAAATATTCTCAAATTATTTATTTAAAAAAACCCACAATAAACAGCAAAAAGACGAAAAACTTGTTCATGTTTGTTTCTTCAGCTTCAGTTCAGCTGCTTCTCTGTTCAACAGACAAAGCCACTTCCTGACATTTTATTTTGAAAGGTCCTAGTGATATGGAGGACTTCCTGTTTGAGCAGCAACAGGAAGTAGATGTCATCAATGTTTCCATTCACATCTGAGAAGTTGGTTCCACTGTGTGTCCAGTTTGAAGATCATTTCCTCATCCTCTTCCTCCTTATCGTCCAATCAGAGCTGAGCAGCAGCAGCAGACTTCCTGCAGACGGCAGGAAGCTCCTCCAGCCCCTGCAGCTCCCGCAGACCCTGGACAGAAGAAGAGCAGCCAATTAGATCTGCCCAGAGACAAACTGGTTCTACTGGGACTGGTTTAAGACCCATCAGTCCTCTGGGTCAGAACCGGTCCAGTTCTGCAGATGAACTGACCTCCAGCACCATGCGAATATGGGCTTTTATTTTGGCGACGTCCTTGGTGAGCTGCTCAATGAAGCTGCAAGCAAACACAGAGTTAGCATGACTAGCATCTCTCATTAGCATCGCTAGCATCTTGCATTAGCACAGCTAGCATCTCTCATCTGGTCCACCAGTGGATCCTGTTAGCATCGAGCTAATCGACTAAACCTGTGGAAATCTGACATTTACATGTTGCTGAAAATTTAGGTGAAAATCAAAAATTATCACATCAGTTTGCTTTAACTTGGGCTAATATTGTAAAACATTCCAATATTTTAGTTTGAAAATCAGAAAAATATTCTAGATTAAACATTTTGTCTCACTCTTCAGCTGATTTGTTTCTTCAATTTTAAAATTAGTATCAAAATGTTCTGGAGAAATAATTTTAAACAAAAGATGTTTTAAAAACATTGATAAATGCTAAATTATAAGCATATAAAAAAATCAAAATTGAATTTTATATTTTTAGACAGTATTTTAGTATTTGACATGGAAAACACTTTACTAATCTGGAAATCTAAAACTATCTTGCTAAAGCATAAAAATGTTTCCATTTCTAAAATAAAATTTACATCTGGAGAAATTATATTTTGAACTTTTCCAAGTTGAATAATTTGAGACAAAGTAAAAACAGAAATTAATAAAATGTTAAAATCAGTTTCAGGAAGTAAAATTTCCAAAGTATTCTGTATAGTTGTTGCCATGGCGACGGCCAACATACAGTGTCAGCTGATTGGTCTTCTTGTCGATGAAGCGCAGCGCCTCCTGGTGGCTCATCTCCACGAAGAACCCGAACCCGACCAACACCAGAATCCTGGACGGATTGTCCCTAAGGAGAGGAAGACGAGCCGGTCAGAACCGGAACCGGAGTCCGGATCAAAAGCGCCTGGCGCCGTCCGGGTCACATGGCCACAGGAAGGGGAGGAGCTTACACTCGGGCCTGAACGAAGAAGCTGCAGCCCAGATCCACGTCTGCCTTCAGGCGCTGAGGCCCCGCCTCCTGCAGGACACAGCGTGATGTCACAGTGATGTCAGAGACCCGAACTGCAGCCACACAATGTAAACATGGAGAAAACAAACGTAGAAGAAATGTGGATTAAATATCTAAAACAGAAAAGATGTGAGAAAAATTTACAATTATCCTTTGAAGGAAAATAAAAGATTACTTTTAATCCCAAAATAAATTAAATGTAAAAATGCTGAAAATCCAGAACATTTCTTCATCCAATCTGAAAATCAGCTCTGGCTCTTTGTTCGATCAGCTCTCCAGACTGAAGATCAATAATCCTGAGAACCAACCAATCAGCAGCTGATTGGTCATGTTATTCAAAAGAAAAATAAAACTAAGAAACAGTTTCTGATTCCAGGTTATACTTTCATTTCATCTCCTGGGATTATAATCCAACTCCTGACAGCTGCTGAGACCACAGCGCCCCCTGCTGGAGAACACGTGAGGAGCCGTTTAAATGAGGGGGAAAGGAAAGTGGTGGCAGAGTGAGACCTCTGTCCTGATGGAGGATCTGTGCAGCTACCTCCAGAGTCTGGATGGCGTTCTTCAGCTGCAGGTAGTGAGACATCTTCTCATAGAGACGATCCCTCTGCTCCAGCACCGCCCTGCAAACATCACAACACCACAACCGGGTCAGAACCGAGTCACAATCTGTGTCGGGCAGAACCAGGACTTCCTCCATCTTGACCTGCAGACGTGGTTCTGGTACCGGATTCTGGAGAACGGGAACAGTTTTCACCAAAGAGCAGAAATCGATTACAAATGGAGAAAATGTTCTGATGGTGCAGGTCCACTCAGACGGTTCTGATGGTCCCAGTCCAGGTCGAGCCTATCTTCAACCAGATCAGCTGAAATCTGAGGAGCAGAACCAGAGAAGTTCTGGACCGGGTTGCGGACAGAACCTTCTGCTCCTCCTGGCAGCACAAAGTTCTGAGATGACAGGAAACATCTGGAACCGTCATCAGAACTTGAACCGGACCGGACCTTCAGAGCTCCTCGGTCCGGCCGGTGGGTTTCTAGTGGGATGTTGGCGCTGGGTGGAGTCAGCGGCGTCGAGCTGAGGCGCTAATTTGGGCCGAGAGTTCTGGTGTCCTGCCTGCCAGGCGCTCAGAGGTCCAGTTAGGGACCGTCTACTGGTGCTGGTCAAAAATATCATAAAAATGTTGATTTCAATCAGTAATTCCATTCAAAAAGTGAAACTTGTACATTGTATTTATAACTCATAACTGATGAAAACTACAAATTCAGTGTCTCACAAAATATTGTGGACAGGTTCAATATTGAAAACTTCTGGTGCTCCACACTAATCAGATAATTAACTGATTAGTGTGGAGGTTTCTATTAAAACCTGCATTTGCTTTAAATGATCTCTCAGTTCAGATCTGCAGGTCACATGACTGCTGACCTGACAGCTGTCCAGAAGATGATCTTTGCTCCAGAGTTCAGAGTTCAGACACATTCATAGAGGGTAGGGTGACCCTAAACCCGTCCTGGATCAGGAAACACACACTCATCGTGTCAGACCTGAAGCAGACAGGATGGACTCTGTTTCCTCTCAGTCTGGAAGAAGAGTGCGGCAGAATCCACGTTGCTTCAGGTCTAGTCAAAGTTTCCACACTCAGTGATGGTTTAGTATGTCATTTGCTGGTGTTGGTCAGCTGTGTTTTGTGAGGTCAAAGGTCAATGCACCCACCAGTACTTCCTGCCTCTGACCAACTTTGTAGAGATGCAGGTTTAATTTTCCATCAGGACATGGAAATCCTGAACACAAGAGTCCAGAACCGGGTTTAAGGTCCGAGATGGAAACTAGCGACGCACCAGGCGTCACATTACAGCTGAAGGCCCCAACCACAGGAACCTGGACTCAGGCTGACCGCCGCGCCGCAGCCTGGCGGACCTCAATCATCAACATTACAAGAAAAAACATTGGAATATATCAGCCTATGAGGAACAAATGAAAATAATAGACAAGTTTGTCTTGGTGGCTGGGATTCCTGATGGAACTTGATGATATTCCAGCTGTTGACCAAACTTCCTGCTGGGAGACTCTGTGACACAAAGTCAGTGAGGACATTTTCTAGAGATGAGATGAATCTGCATTTGACTTTACAAAACTTTACATTGAAAAGACCACAGCGCCCCCTGCTGTTTTCGTAGTTTGCAGGACATATGACCCGCTGACGAGGAATGAAAAGGCTGAAAATAGAATAAAATGGTCACAAGTCAAGAAACCCATCTGCTTCTCAGTGTTTGGTTCGTTCACGGTCCCGAACCGAACCGAACTTCGGAGCGCCAGGCGGGGCCGGGAGGGAACGGCCGGCCGAAATTAGCGTCCATGAATCGTATCAAGCTGGAGCGAGACGCCGCTCGATCCGCGGAGCCGCGCCAGGCAGAACCTACAGAACCTTCAGTTTGATCCGGTTCTGCTCAGAAACTCAGCTTCTTCTTGCGCTTGTTCGGCCCGGTTTGGCTCGGTTCGGTTCGGTTCGGACCCGGTTCCGTCTGGCTTACCGCAGGTCTCTCCTCAGCACGTCGCTGATGAAAGCTTCATACTGCAGAACCTTCTGGTCCAGACCGCCGGCACAACAAGCAGGACGAGCCGTCATGTTCCGGTTCTGAACGCCCGAGCCGAGCCAGATAAACTTCTAGAACCCGAACCCTCCTGTTAGCGCAGCTAGCATGCTGCTAATTCCTCTGCTTTTCTGTTATGATGCTGCGAACGTAACACCGGAAGCTGTTCTTGTTCTTTTATCTCCCTGGTGGCTGCTGGATGAGCGCTGATCCCCATACCGCCCCCTGCTGGTGGAGCACGACAGGAACAACGAGAAGCTCACAGGGCAGGGCAGGGCAGGGCAGGGCAGGGCAGGGCAGGGCAGGGCAGGCAGGGCAGGGCAGGGCAGGGCAGGGCAGGGCAGGGCAGGGCAGGGCAGGGCAGTGGAATTGTTGCATACTGTAATCACACTACTAATACTAATTGTAATTCAATCACAAAAATAATACACTCAGAATAAACTAATCAAGCACATTCATTTTCTGAAGGAAACATCTTTCAGAGGCACAGACAGAGCACCGCTGAGCACCTTCACTTTGGAGGAGGCAAAAGCCGCCCACTATTATAATTATTAATGTTATTATTAATATTGTTATTTGTTAGGCTGAAGGTGTTGGTCTAATCTGGTCTCTTTTGTGCAGGTTGTCCTGCTGCTGTTTCTGTTTCAGATCAGAATGATTTCTGATCTGATTAATGACCAACATGTTTTGCTCCCGTCGTTCGGCCCTTTGGCACAATTTAAAGCTCTTGTTGTTTCATTGAGGTTGTTGCTGCTGTTGCTGCTGCTGTTGCTGCGTTTGCTGCTGTTGTTGCTGCTGCTTCTGTTGTTGCTGCTGCTGTTGCTGCTGCTAAACCTGTTGATTCAGTCTGTTGATTACTGGGTTGGTAACTGGTTAAACTGGACTATTGCTACAGGTTGGGATCTTTATCAGCATATGGACATTTTTTAATGAATTTATTTGTAAATGTTTGAGGTTCATGGAAGATTGAACCAGTTACTTGATGGAAGTTTATCCTGTATAACTGTAAATAATTTTCACAACATTATTTTTCTGTCTCTGGTTTGTTAAATCAACCCTGATCCTCCCTGGTTTTATCTTTAGGTTTTCTGACAAGCAGAACTTTAAATATTGATCCCGTCATCTTAACGAGAGCAGCAGCATAATAAATGCTGCATTCTGCTGCAGCATCATAAATACTGCATTCTGCAGCAGCGTCATAAATGCTAAATTCTGCTGCAGCGTCATAAATGGTGCATTCTGCTGCAGCATCATAAATGCTGCATTCTGCTGCAGCATCATAAATGTTGCATTCTGCTGCAGCATAATAAATGCTGCATTCTGCTGCAGCATCATAAATGCTAAATTCTGCTGCAGCTTGATGGGTGAATGTGATTTTGTATGTCGACTAACATTGAGATAAATCTGAATGAATATTCATGAGCGGTGTTGAAATAGAATTTTAAATTAGCACAATAGTACACAGGCTAATCTTTACTTAAGACAAACTTAGATAAAGATCCAAACTAAAACAACTGGCCACTCTAAAAGTTTTACATGAATTGTATAGGGAGGATCTTAAAGAAGACAGACTGAGACTCCTTAACTCTCTTTAGACAGGGAGCCTGTCTGCCAGGCAATTAACAAATTCCTGAGCATGGTTCAAAAGTTCACTAGGATCTTAAAACTTTTTATAAATAATTTTATCTATATTAGAATTAAATATATTTCTTTAAGCATGTTTTTAAATAGTTACTTATTAGATCCAAACTTATAGTCATCATTAAGCATTACATTTTGTGCGAGTTTGTTTAAAAAACACCAACTGGTTTCTTGTTGAATCATTTTGAGGCACAGATAACGCTGCAGACCCACGCCGTAAATCACAGTCTGGCCAGAGGCTGGTAGGAGAAGAACTGGGTGTTTCAGTGGGTCTCAGAGGTAATAAAATGAACATTAAGACAGCCCACTCAAAGGAAAACACACCTCCTAATGCATATATTCAAATGAGGAGAATACACATTCTATAAAAATGGTTTGTTTCACAGCAGAAGTTCGAATCTCTTTGTGCTGAGTGAGAGTTTCCCAGAAGATGCATCTTCTGTTAATTTTTTGTCTTTTTACTCAGTTAATTGTTTCTGTTTTGTCATGTCTTGGACTTTTGATAATCTAGGTGAGATGCTTGTTGTAACATTATGTATTGCATTAAATTCTTTGGATAAAACTCTGAATATCTGAAGTCTGACGTCGTATGATTGCTCTTTCTCCTGCACATTTATACAGACACAAGAATTCGGGACAAAGAGGAATGAATTAACGAGCTAAATCAAGATATTCCTCATTTTAATTCTCAACAGCGGGTCCTTATTAATATAACTGAGTGAACATGGGAGCCGAACGCTTTGTGATTTTTCCAGGACACTATTTAACATCTCCACGTCTTTCAGAACATTTCTGATGTTTATCATCTTTCTGCGCCGCGCCTTCCTCGCTCTGATCCGTGTTTCAGCTGCTGCTTTGGCCCAGAGCCGATCGACTGCAGGGAAACGTCGGCCCAACTTGTCCCGGGTCGGCCCAACTTGTCCCGGGTCGGCCCAACTTGTCCCGGGTCGGCCCAACTTGTCCCGGGTCGGCCCAACTTGTCCCGGGTCGGCCCAACTTGTCCCGGGTCGGCCCAACTTGTCCTGTTTCCTGGTCCGTATAGAACCAGGCTGGACCTCATGGATGCTGCTCTTCATGTTCTGACTGTCACCAAGAATCAAATATGTTTAGAGATCTATTCCTGTTTTTTACATAAAATGCTACATTATTGCCAGGTCGTCATTTTTACCCTTTTCCACACAGATCTTTGGAAATGTGTTTATGTCAGATAATTATGAATGATGTAATACCCAACATCAGCAAATAAAAATGTCTTTATCACCAGTGAAGAAACTTTGTGTGTTATGACATAAATTTATCAGATCAAAAAATGAATCCTTCGCTTTCATTCAATATAAAATCAGCTAAATGTGCATTTAGATCCACATTCAGATGATGGCATTGATATAGTTATGGTTGAAACATTGATTCAACAAGTAAAACCTAATAAATCCATTAGCAATGAATAACTTCTATCATTCTGATCCCTAAACAAATAAAGACCATTTAATGATAGATAACTGGGGCGGCGTCACTCTATTAAATAATGACAATAACATTTTGGCCTCCATTTTAGTTAAAAGACTGAAAAATAGTTTAAATTATTTTATACATGAAACTTCAAACAGCTTGAATGTAACATTTCTGATTGGATTATAAAGATCTTCTCCATGATCCAATGGTCTTAGATTATCTAAAGGCCTTTGATACAGTTAGTCACAACTTTATTTTTCACACATTGTTTTTTTTATCTTTGGGAAGTTTTTCTTTAAAGCCTTTAAGACACTTGATAGAGATAATAACATTTCTATGAACTTCTGCTCAGCACATCTCGCTGGTTTTACGTCCAGGAAGGGGTTGCCAGGCTGTCCAGCCACAACTTACATTTTTCTGCTTGTTCTAAACTATTTAATCAGACAGAGCTCATGTGAGGAAATTAAAATGTTTGATCAAGAAATAAAAATTTCACAACTTGCTGACGATACAACAGTATTTTTAAGAGATTCTAATAAAATTCCTGCAGCTCTGACTGTTACAGCATTTGAAACTCAATCTAAGAAAAGTCCTTCCTTTACTAAAATTGAACTCGTTATGGAGGAGTCCTAACCCTAACCCAATCTCAACCCCACAGCAGGAATGTCCAGGCTGTCATATCTCTTCTCTCCACAAGGTGTCAGTAAATCGCTCTGTTCTGAATCCCTCCTGATGCCTTTGAGGCTGCTTGAAAACGTTTATGTTCATTAAAAACCTCCTGCTCCTTTGTGTGGAACATTTTTCTATATTTTTACTTTCTTTAAATTCTTACTATCTAGAATTTTCTCTATAAAAGTTTAACTATTGTTGCTGATGGATTGGTTTGCCATCGTCACGTGACTGCGTTTCTGGGTTTTCTGACCAACGGCGGAAGGTCCATGTGACGTCAGAAGGTTAGCTGCTCGGTGCTTTGAATCTCAGCTAGCTTACCGCTCGGTTACCATGGTGAGTGTTTGGAACAGCTCTTCCTGTTTCTGAGGCACAGCTAGCTTAGCCGCACCGTGACCATGGCGACACGTCCTCTTCAAAGCGGGTTTCCGGTCAGATGCGCGTTTCTTTCCGTTTGTTCTCCGCAGCCGAATGATAGTAACGGGTTTTGTGAGAGTCGCCAAGAAAGAACGACTGATTCGGTTCGAGATGACCCGAGAATAACCTCTGAGATCCTTAAAGTGATTCATTTCTGCATAAGGTTCTTCCTCCATCACTATTCACCTGGAAGACTCCAGGTTGATTCTGATTGGTTGTTCTTCACAGAGAGAAGCCCCGGCCCGGTCCGGCCCGGTCCGGCAGACATGGAGCAGTACAGCATCCTGGGTCGGATCGGAGAAGGAGCTCATGGCATCGTCTTCCAGGCCAAACACATCGAGGTATCTGGGCTGTTTTGAGTCTGGTTCCGGGTCCGGTTCTGGTCCGGCCCATCAGGTCTCTGCTGTGTGTCAGACAGGAGAGACGGTGGCCCTGAAGAAGGTGGCGCTGAGGAAGCTGGAGGACGGGATCCCGAACCAGGCAGTGAGGGAGATCAAGGCCCTGCAGGAGATCGAGGACAACCAGCATGTAAGTGGTTCCGGTTCTGATGGTTCTGGCGGTTCTGATGGTTCCGGTTCTGATGGTTCTGGTGGTTCTGATGGTTCTGGTGGTTCTGGTTCTGATGGTTCTGGTTCTGATGGTTCTGGTGGTTCTGGTTCTGATGGTTCTGGTTCTGATAGTTATGGTGGTTCTGATAGTTATGGTGGTTCTGATGGTTCTGGTTCTCATGGTTCTCATGGTTCTGATGGTTCTCATGGTTCTGGTGGTTCTGATAGTTCTCATGGTTCTCATGGTTCTGATGGTTCTGGTTCTCATGGTTCTGGTTCTCATGGTTCTGATGGTTCTCATGGTTCTGATGGTTCTGGTTCTCATGGTTCTGATGGTTCTGATAGTTCTCATGGTTCTGGTTCTGATAGTTCTCATGGTTCTCATGGTTCTGGTTCTCATGGTTCTCATGGTTCTGGTGGTTCTCATGGTTCTGGTGGTTCTGATAGTTCTCATGGTTCTGATGGTTCTGGTTCTGATGGTTCTGGTTCTCATGGTTCTGATGGTTCTGATGGTTCTGATGGTTCTGATGGTTCTCATGGTTCTGATGGTTCTGGTTCTCATGGTTCTGATAGTTCTCATGGTTCTGATGGTTCTGGTTCTGATGGTTCTCGTGGTTCTCATGGTTCTGGTTCTCATGGTTCTGATGGTTCTGGTTCTGATGGTTCTGGTTCTGATGGTTCTGGTTCTCATGGTTCTGATGGTTCTGGTTCTGATGGTTCTGATGGTTCTGATGGTTCTGGTTTTCATGGTTCTGATAGTTCTCATGGTTCTGATGGTTCTGGTTCTCATGGTTCTGATGGTTCTGGTTCTCATGGTTCTGATGGTTCTGGTTCTCATGGTTCTGATAGTTCTCATGGTTCTCATGGTTCTGATGGTTCTGGTTCTCATGGTTCTGATGGTTCTGGTGGTTCTGGTTCTCATGGTTCTGATGGTTCTGGTTCTCATGGTTTTCATGGTTCTGATGGTTCTGGTTCTCATGGTTCTATGGTTCTGGTTCTGATGGTTCTGATGGTTCTGGTTCTCATGGTTCTGATAGTTCTCATGGTTCTGATGGTTCTGGTTCTCATGGTTCTGATGGTTCTGATGGTTCTGATAGTTTCTCATGGTTCTCATGGTTCTGATGGTTCTGGTTGATGGTTCTGGTGGTTCTGGTGGTTCTGGTTCTCATGGTTCTGATGGTTCTGATGGTTCTCATGGTTCTGATGGTTCTGGTTCTGATGGTTCTCATGGTTCTGATGGTTCTGGTTCTCATGGTTCTCATGGTTCTGATGGTTCTGGTTCTCATGGTTCTCATGGTTCTGATGGTTCTGATGGTTCTGATGGTTCTCATGGTTCTGATGGTTCTGATGGTTCTGATGGTTCTGATGGTTCTCATGGTTCTGATGGTTCTGGTTCTCTTCAGGTGGTGAAGCTGAAGGATTTCTTCCCTCATGGAACCGGCTTTGTCCTGGTGTTTGACTTCATGCTCTCTGACCTCTCTGAGGTCATCAAGAACTCCCAGCGACCTCTGACCCCGGCTCAGGTGAAGGGCTACATGATGATGCTGCTGAAGGGCGTGGCCTTTCTGCACCAGAACTCCATCATGCACCGGGTCAGCGCCGCCGGGTCGTCACTTTATGTCTTTTTCTAGATTAACAAAAATGTTTGTGAAAAATCAGAAATCAGCTAAATATCACAGTTCCCACAGTTCCCACAGTTCCCAGTGTTCCCAGTTTAAGGAATCCATCTGCTTGTGTTTCCTGTCCAGGACCTGAAGCCCGCCAACCTCCTCATCAGTTCCTCGGGTCACCTGAAGGTGGCAGACTTCGGCCTGGCCCGGCTGTTCAGCGACCAGGGGGAGCGGCTCTACAGCCACCAGGTGGCCACCAGGTAGGCAGCTGAGGCTCCGCCCCCAGAGGGCGGGTCAACAACACGGCAGCGCCTCAGCGGTCCTGACCCACAGTGTTTCCTCTCCAGGTGGTACCGAGCGCCAGAGCTCCTGTACGGAGCCCGAAAATACGACGAGGGAGTTGACCTGTGGTAAGAGTCTGCGGAGGTCAGACCCTGCAGAGGTCAGACAGAGGTCAGACCCTGCAGAGGTCAGACAGAGGTCAGACCCTGCAGAGGTCAAACAGAGGTCAGACCCTGCAGAGGTCAGACAGAGGTCAGACCCTGCAGAGGTCAGACGGAGGTCAGACCCTGCGGAGGTCAGACCCTGCTGAGGTCAGACCCTGCAGAGGTCAGACAGAGGTCAGATGGAGGTCAGACCCTGCAGAGGTCAGACCCTGCAGAGGTTAGACGGAGGTCAGATGGAGGTCACACCCTGCAGAGGTCAGACGGAGGTCAGATGGAGGTCAGGCCCTGCAGAGGTCAGACAGAGGTCAGACCCTGCGGAGGTCAGACAGAGGTCAGACCCTGCAGAGGTCAGACAGAGGTCAGACCCTACAGAGGTCAGACAGAGGTCAGACCCTGCGGAGGTCAGACAGAGGTCAGACACTACAGAGGTCAGACAGAGGTCAGACCCTGCAGAGGTCAGACAGAGGTCAGACCCTGCGGAGGTCAGACGGAGGTCAGACCCTGCAGAGGTCAGACTTTGCGGAGGTCAGACAGAGGTCAGACGGAGGTCACCCTGCAGAGGTCAAACAGAGGTCAGACGGAGGTCAGACCCTGCAGAGGTCAGACAGAGGTCAGACCCTGCAGAGGTCAGACAGAGGTCAGACCCTGCAGAGGTCAGACGGAGGTCAGGCCCTGCGGCGGTTCTGGCAGACCGTCTAATGCTCTCTGCTTCCAGGGCGGTCGGATGCATCTTCGGAGAGCTGCTCAACTCCTCTCCTCTGTTTCCCGGGGAAAACGACATCGAGCAGCTCTGCTGCGTCCTGCGAGTTCTGGGGACGCCGACCCGGGAGAGCTGGCCCGTAAGAACCACACCTCAGCAGACACACAGTGTCTAGAACAGGAACCAGGGTCAGAACCGGGCAGGCATCAGGCCCGTCTCTACCAAAACCCAGAAACAGGAAGGTTCTGGTTCTGATGGGTCTGCTTCCAGAACCACATCTGGATCTGAGGATGTGGTTTGGAGGGTTGAAGGAATCACTGGAGCAGCTTTAGGTTGGTGTTCTGGTTTCTGGTTCTGGTGGACAATGAGCGGTTCTGGAGATGGAATGATCGGAACCGCTCATCTGATCAGAGAGCAGGAAACAGAACCGAGCCCTGAGGAACTTCTTTCAGGCGTGTTCAGGTTGAGGATGATCTTCTGGATGATGCCGGTACCCGGCTGAGACCAGGACCAGAACCTCTGCCTTCCTTCTGTCCTCCAGGAAATGGTCGAGTTGCCAGATTACAATAAAATCACCTTCAAGGAGAATCCAGCGATCCCATTGGAGGAGGTCGTCCCTGACACGTGTCCTCAGGCCGTGGACCTGCTCCGCCGCTTCCTGGTTTACCCGTCCAGGCGGCGCTGCTCCGCCACACAGGTGAGGTCCAGGTGGCTCGGTAACGGGCCGCTCGTTTTAGAGCTGGTCTCTGATTGGTTGTTCCTCCTGAAGGCTCTCATCCATCCCTTCTTCTTCTCCTCTCCTCTTCCTGCTCACCACTCCGAGCTGCCCATCCCTCAGAGGGGGGGTCGCCCTCCCCGCCAGCGCCTGCAGGCTCCGCCCACCGACTTCTCCGTGGACCTGCCCTGCAGAACAGCATGGTAGACCCCGCGGAGCTGGAGCCACACGCCTCCTGCCTCTGAAAAGACTCAAAATGTTGGAAATGAGAGGAGGAGAGAGAATTACCGAACTACTGAACTACTGAACTGAACTACTGAACTGAACTACTGAACTACTGAACTGAACTACTGAACTACTGAACTGAACTACTGAACTACTGAACTACTGAACTACTGAACTACTGAACTACTGAACTGAACTACTGAACTACTGAACTGAACTACTGAACTGAACTACTGAACTGAACTACTGAACTGAACTACTGAACTGAACTACTGAACTACTGAACTGAACTACTGAACTGAACTACTGAACTACTGAACTGAACTACTGAACTGAACTACTGAACTACTGAACTGAACTACTGAACTACTGAACAGAACTACTGAACTACTGAACTGAACTACTGAACTGAACTACTGAACTACTGTACAGAACTACTGAACTACTGAACAGAATACTGAACTACTGAACTGAACTACTGAACTGAACTACTGAACTACTGAACAGAACTACTGAACTACTGAACTGAACTACTGAAACTGAACTGAACTACTGAACTACTGAACAGAACTACTGACTACTGAACTGAACTACTGAACTGAACTACTGAACTACTGTACAGAACTACTGAACTACTGAACAGAACTACTGAACTACTGAACTGAACTACTGAACTGAACTACTGAACTACTGAACAGAACTACTGAACTACTGAACTGAACTACTGAACTACTGAACTGAACTACTGAACTACTGAACTGAACTACTGAACTACTGAACAGAACTACTGAACTACTGAACTGAACTACTGAACTGAGTTTGTTTTGCATCAGCTGCTTTGTGAGGTCTGCTGCTGACTTGTTTCCATGGAAACCGGTGGTTGGTCTTCATGAACTCCAGTCCAGAATGGGGCCTCTTACTGGTGTTACTGGGAGGGCCAGCAAAGTCTTCACTCCCAGCTTCCACCCAGTATGAATCAGCTGGAACAGAACCTTCTGGTTCCCTCAGGATGATGGTTCTGGCTGGATTCACTGGGAGAATCCCAGTCCTTCCAGTATGGAAGCAGAGCACCAGGCACGACTGTTTGGACCCTCGAAGTTTCAGCAGTGATCTATGATGTTGCTTCATGTCCGGTTTCATCGCCAAATACCACAGAACAAGACCTGTGTGGGCGGAGCCAGTGGTGGGTGGAGCCAGCAGTGGGAGGAGCCAGTGGTGGGTGGAGCCAGCAGTGGGAGGAGCCAGTGGTGGGTGGAGCCAGCAGGGAGGAGCCAGTGGTGGGTGGAGCCAGCAGTGGGAGGAGCCAGTGGTGGGTGGAGCCAGCAGTGGGAGGAGCGCTGGCTCCTTGTAGAAGGAGCAGCTCCTCAATCCTCTCTGTTGCAACAAAAGACCCTATGACCAGACAGAGCTCTCACTCTCAGAAGAAGAGATGATGTCAGGTGTGATTCCATCAGCTGATTGGTCGTCAGGCTTTTCAGCCACCAGGGGTCAGAGGTCATCAGGCTTCGGCATGAAGGTCAGGACCTGCAGTGTTTGCTTTCAGTCAGAGAGTTTTTGGAAGAATAATCTGAGAATCAGGTGAAATGTTTTTATTTGTACTTTTCCATGTTGTTTCTCTGTCACAATGGAACCAGTTCAGTTCCACTGGTTCCCAGTCATCGGTGTCCGGCCCTGCATTCAGTTCATGTCAGGATTCAGCCTGCAGCTGGGATTAAATCTGCTCTCCTCTGGCTAATCCAGGAGCCGATTAGGGACAATCTGGAGCTGTGTCAGCGCTGAGGTTCCTCAGGGCTTCATCTTTGGTCCCTGTTGCTTCCTGTGCTCCACCTGGGCCCCTGCTGGGCTCCTCTGTGTTTCAGGACCTTTTGTCTTCAACAGGCTCCAACATCCCTGAGCGCTTCTGACACCGACAGCTCACCTTTGACCCTGACCTGAGCTTCCTTGCATATTTTTGTCTGTGACGATGTTGCTGCGTCTGACTGGTTGTTGTAGCTCGGCGCCGAAGCTCACTGGTCGGCCTCGGATGAATCAGGGCTCCTCAGATGGCCTCATCGATTGGACGACGCCAGCTGTCCGCCACTTGGCTCCGCCTACAGCCCGCCTCCACTGCACTCCTTGTGTGGACATCCTGCTGTGGCTCCACCCCCTGTCTTCATGCGCCCCTCCTACCTGAATGGGACCTGCTCAGTCCTTCTTCGTCTCCGGCCTTCAGGGAGGCAGGTGAGTTTTTACCTGTGGCTGTTCTGGCCTGTGATTGGTGGAACCCTGAGCAGCTTGTCTCTCTGCAGAGCGACGTCAGTGTTTCAGCTGCGGGACCCACAGCGCCCTCCTGTGGAGGAAGGAGGCAGCGGGAACGCACCTGTGTTCCACCTGCAGCATCCGACAGCAGAACCCGCCGCTGCTGCGGCCCAAGAAGAGAGCGGTGAGGTCACACCTGCTGGCTACCATAGAAACAGATCCACCTGGGGCGGAGCCAGAGCCACTTGCTGGAATTGTGAAAAGGTTCTCAGAATAAACCCGCAGAACCTGGTCAGAATCGGGTCAGAACCGACCCAGTCAGACACTGCTGCTTCATCCAGACTGGAGCAAATTCAGCCCTCCTGCTGTTCAGCCTCCAGACAGCAGGGGGTGCTGTGTTCAGGCGTCCTCAGCGTTCCGTCTCTTCCTGCTTCCAGGCGGCGGCCAGAAAAGGAACTCAGTGTTCCAACTGCGGGACGGGAACCACGTCTTTGTGGAGGAGAAACGCTGCAGGAGACGCCGTCTGCAACGCCTGTGGCCTCTACTACAAGCTGCACCAGGTGACCATCTTGGTAGGCAGTTGGTTTGGCAACAATAAACAAGCTACAAGCTCTTCTCTTATATCATTACAGCTTTGGCTGAGTTACAGTTTCTGAGTTCTCTGTGACACTAATATAAATGTCAGTGATATTTTCTGTAGTACTGACTGCTGAACTAGCAGCGTTAGCTTAGCTACTGTGCTTTTCTCTGCTAGCTAAGAGGACATATAGCCCTTGTGTTTCTACTTGTTCTCCGTCTGCCAGTCAGAAGAACCTCGTTGTTCACATGAACAATTGTCACATATTTTATATTTCTGTTTAAACGTTGATGGAAAGCGGCTATGTTGGATAAACTCTTCCAGTTCACCAGCATTGAGCTGCAGCAGCAGATCAGCGGCGGCTCGTCCACATCGTCTGACATGTTGCCGTTCTCCAGTCTCATCCGGGTCGATCCAACAGCAGCCATTTTGTTCCTGTCTCTTTCACCTTGTCCAGAGTTCAGCTTTGCGCTGCGCTGCCTACCAAGATGGCGGTTTTGTGGCGTGGATCTTTTCCAGTTTATTCTTGTGGGAGTTTTGTATTTTCATCACACAGAAATAATTAACTCTGACCAGAGACGTTTGGAGTGGTGCAACATGTGACCTTTGACCCTTCTGCCTGCAGGCGCATCGGCCACTGGCTCTGAGGAAGGACGGGATCCAGACCAGGAAGAGACGATCGGCCAATCAGAGGCCAGGCAGGAAAGGAGCTGACCAATCAGGAACTTGGACTGGCCCTCTGTGGTGAACCGGACCGGTCCTGTGACCCGGTTCCTCTGAGGAGGAAGATGATGATGATGTGGAATAAAGCATGTGAAGCTGGGCTCCTGTGTTTGGTTCTGTTCTGGTCCGTTTGGACCCTACTGGGCTGCCTTCAGATGCATCGGCCGCCGGCTCTGACAAAGGACAGGATCGTCCTGCAGACAGTGAAGGCATCGCCCCCCCGCCGCCCACGTTGTGCAACGCAGGAGGTTCTGGTTTTCCGGAACCAGTCAGACAAAGCCAAGAAAGGAAAAGGGAGAAGAAGAAAACGGTTGGTGGTCTGAGGCCGAAACGCCTGAGAGGCGCAACGGACCCAACGGCGCCAGAGACCACAGAACACACACCTCACTGAACACACACACACTGAACACAGAACACACACCTCACAGAACACACACCTCACTGAACACACACCTCACTGAACACAGAACACACACCTCACAGAACACACACCTCACTGAACACACACCTCACTGAACACAGAACACACCTCACAGAACACACACCTCACAGAACACACACCTCACTACACCTCACTGAACACACACCTCACTGAACACACACCTCACTGAACACACACCTCACTGAACACACACCTCACTGAACACACACCTCACTGAACACACACCTCACTGAACACACACCTCACTGAACACACACCTCACTGAACACAGAACACACACCTCACAGAACACACACCTCACAGAACACACACCTCACTGAACACACACCTCACAGAACACACACCTCAGCAAGTCTTCGTTTTGGTTCTGGTCAGATTCCACTTTTAAAAACTGATCATTGTTATCAATATAGTGTCAGCTGATCAGACACAGAGAGGAGGGTCAGAAGTCAGAGAGTTTGTTAATCTGACTCAGATTAATAATCTAGATCAGATCCTGGCTGCTTTATTAACTTATTAAAACGGATCTGAATTATTGATCTGCAGAATGAAGATCATCAGCGGATCAATATCTGGATTGACTGATGGTAAAACTTCCCAGGTCTTCAAAGTAAATATAAAATATTATTGACATAAATTCTTCAGCTGAATTTATTTTCTCAGTGATTTATGGACATTAAAGATTGATTTCACTTATTCTGGATGTTTTTCAAACAAATCTCTAAAATGATTTTCCAATAATTTTTTCCTCTATAAATAAAGAATTATTTGATTATCGATTCGTTTTGAATGAATCCATACTTCCAGAACAGTTCACGGTTCTTATTCCAGGACCTGGAACGTTCTGTTCGGATGGTTCTGTTCGGATGGTTCTGGTGGTTCCGCAGAAGCTCCTCCTCCATTCAACAAACTTTCAACAAACCGATTAGCCTGATTGATTCGCAGACCCCAGTGCGCATGCTCAGAGGCGGGGCATGAGCGCCACGGGGTGCTGCTTTCAGGGGCGCCTCGGAAAGATAAGAAGAATAGTTTTATGGATTAAACGTTCCTCAGGTTCAACTGAACGTTAACCAAAGAGATGACGGTTTGTAATCTCTGCACTGATTGGTGAGCTCGTGCGTTCTTCAGACCGGATGCAGTTAAAGACTGGGCTGGAGTCTGTGGATTCCGACAGCCCTGAAGGCAGCAGCGGAGTAGAGGAGGAGAGCTGAGGGTCTCGGAGCGGTGAGTCCAGTTAAAGCCGTTTATTCCTTCTGGTTCGGGGCTTTATCCGGTCCCGGTCCCGAGCAGGTTAGACCGGACCTGCAGGGCACAGCGGCCGGAACCGGGAGCTCCTGGGGCCGCAGCAGGAGCCCCACGCCGCCGCCGAGGGGCGAAACATGTCTGCTCCGGGGCCGCGCGCGTGCTTACGCGGGTCTAAGCGCGTGCACGCCATTGAGCAACAGGTAGAGCGCGTGCAGCGTGAGGTTCGGTCCGTCTCGGGTGGTTTCTGGGTTCTGCTTGGCTGCAGGTTCGGTCTGCAAGGTCCAACAGCTGCACGGTCCATCAGCGGACTGCAAGTCCCAAAATGCTTTGCGGGAATCCTGGGATGGTTTTCTGGATCCAGAATGAGATCCTGAAGGAGCGAGACGTTTCCGGTTCTGATCTCTGGTCCAAACTGTCAGCTCCTCCAGAAGTTCGGGTTACCATGACAACCAACCAGAGGCCAGCTGCAGAGCACGGTGGAGGCTCCGGCATGCTGTGGGCTTGAGTTAACCCAGCGCCACCTGGAGGCTCCGAGTTGCACGACAGCACTTCTTCTTCTCTGACATGTTTGTTTCTCCTCCAGGTGTTTTGATCAGTCTATTGATTGATACGGTGGCCCTGAGGTGCAAAACACGACAACATTAACCAAAACACAAATAAGAGCCTGGTATTTAGACTCCATGACTGTTTGGCAGAGACACTATTTTAACTATTATTTAAACCTAGTTTTTAGTTTTCTGTAGCTAGCTAAAATACTAAATTAAAAATACATTAATCAAAATTAATTAATATAACTAGTTAGGTTATAATTCAAAGCTTTAAATGACATAGCCTACTTACATTTCAGTCATTATTATTAATGGTTTTTCTCATATTCTTACCACACATTTCAAGAAGAGCTGGGAGAAAATAAAACATTAGAGGGCAGCATGTCACTGAAACATGTTAAAAGAATCTGTCTAAAACACGATCTATTAGCACTAGCATGGCTAATATAATAAACGAGGCACTATGCAGCGGTACACAACCATTTTGTTTCTTTTTAGAAAATGTATGACAAGAGCCGCCTCTCATTAGGAAGGTAAACAGCGGTTACTGCTGAGCGGTAAAATGTTGGAAATACCTGCAGAACTCCTGACGGTGTAACTCTGAAGCCGTTGATGTGTTTTGGATCAAGCAGGAACTACATGTCAGTTTAACCAATGAACAGCGTCGGGCATCGGGCTGCCTTCAGGGACAGTCGGAAATTACACTTTTCCTGGCAAATCTTTGCCGATCTCATAAGTATTTTATTTTAAAATTACCATTTCCAGGGGGTGGCAGTAGGGGGGGCCAGGGGTGTTGGTGGTGGCAAGTGCCACCCCGGCCCCCCCTCTGGCTCCGCCACTGAACTAAATGACAGTGGACACGGTCTGGAGACCACTAGCGTTAGCAAGTTACTACATCCATAAGAAATATGAATCTTCCTTTATACTTTTTAACTTACTTGAACATTGTGGAGTATCCTCCATACAAGTTTCTTGAAGCCTCTTGCCACAATTACTGCAAAAATTTGGTGACGGCTCAACCACCTCCTTTCCACAGTTCGGGCAATACTGGCGAAGTGACTGTATTCCCGCTTCCTTAGGTTCTCATTCAAACGAAGCACTCCAGCAGAACTTCCGGTTCAAAAGTAAAACGACCTGTCGTCCAATCAGCGACTTCTTAGGTCTCCCACTGGGACCTACCTCTTCCGTTGTGTTTTCCTTATGTTGTTGTGTTTTGCACCTCAGGGCCACCGTAGATTGATGATTTGCAGCTCATCAGCTGATTGGCTCATGTTAACAACCAAGCATGGACTCTGAGGCCACGCCCTTGAACCGCAGGACTCATCCCGATTGGCCATGGTAGCAGAGGGGCCGCCTCATCCTAAGATGGAGCAATTGGACGAGCTGAGCTTAGGGGCGGGGCTTGAAGTAGCAGGTGAGACGGACAGCGGCAGGTGTGTGTGTGTGTGTGTGTGTGATGATCAGCTGATGGTTGAATCGGTTGTTTGTGCAGAGGAAGCAGGACGTGGTGAGGATCCTGAACCGGCCATGGTTCAGCCGCCGGACGCCATGACGATGGAACAGTGCTGGAGGCGACAGTTCCCGGACCGCCGGCGCTGCTCGGTCGTCCTTCTCAGGCTTCCTGCGGAGACGCTGCGGCTCTGGCGGCGGGGCGGTGCAGAGAGGAGGCGGAGCCAGCGGGTCAGGTCACGTGACCTGCGGTCCGGCTGGGACTGGATGGAGCCGCTGGACCTGGAGAACGGCGGCGCCGGAACCCGAGACTTTGTCAAGAAGGTGGAGGTAAACGCCCGTGAAGATGACCCTGGGAAACCCCAGAGCCTACTGCGACTGAAGCAACGCCTGGAGCCCTCCGACCCCGCCCACCCAGATGATGGTGCCGCCCTGGGTGAGCCGCCGCAGAGCGACCACACCTACTGCATGGGCTTCAATACACCTGAGAGCAGCAGCCAATCACTGGAGGACAGGTAAGAGTGGGAGGAGCTTTCTCTCAAGGCTACAAACTCCATGTTTGTTTTTCTGTGCATTATTTTTCTAGCCGTGATGCTGGACATTAAATACTGACTAAACTTTTCACATTCATAAAACATAACAAAGCAGGTTGAGAAATGAACAGAGGCTGTTGAAGCTTTTAGTGATCAAACTGCCAGAACCGGCTGGAACCGGCCCGAACGGGCCGTGATGATTGGTGCCAGTGGTTCTCATCGTGCTGTAACGGTTCCGTGTTTCTGTCATAGCGACTCGTTAACTTAAGAAACGTTCTGGATCCACACCGGACAACTGCTATGGCCGCCATCTTTTTTTCTGGGTCTGCTTGAGGATGAGCGACAGCGCCCTCTGCTGGACGCCGACTAAACTACAGCACTGAAAAGCGGTTGTTAATCGATTGGAACTGATTTTAAGTCAATAAATCATCAATGGAGATAAAGGTGACTCCTGAATGCATCACCAGAGGGCAGTGAGAGGAAACACAGCAGTTCTGGTTCTGGTTCTGGTTCTGGTCGGTCCTTCTGGACCAGAGAACAGATGCTGTTCTCCCCTCCGTCGCCTGACCTTTGACCTCATGTCTCTTGCAGGCCGCCGTCCCCATTGTCCAGCTGGTCAAAAAGAGACGGGGACGGCCGCTGCTCACCTGCAGGTAGGTCACCTGTGCTCCCGTCTGACTGTTACCATGGAGACCGGATAACAGGCTGACTCTTCCTCTTTGCTTGTTTCTGATTCCAGAGAAGAAGAAGAAGAAGAACGTGCCGAGTGTGGTGCTGAGGAAGGTAAGGGCTGAGTGTGTGTGTGTGTGTGTGTGTGTGTTGTGTGTGTGTGTGTGTGTGTGTGTGTGTGTGTGTGTGAGGCTCAGTGTGTGTGTGTGTGAGGCTCAGTGTGTGTGTGTGTGAGGCTCAGTGTGTGTGTGTGTGAGGCTCAGTGTGTGTGTGTGTGTGTGTGAGGCTCAGTGTGTGTGTGTGTGAGGCTCAGTGTGTGTGTGTGTGTGTGTGTGTGTGTGTGTGTGTGAGGCTCAGTGTGTGTGTGTGTGTGTGAGGCTCAGTGTGTGTGTGTGTGTGTGTGTGTGAGGCTCAGTGTGTGTGTGTGTGAGGCTCAGTGTGTGTGTGTGTGTGAGGCTCAGTGTGTGTGTGTGTGTGTGTGTGTGAGGCTCAGTGTGTGTGTGTGTGAGGCTCAGTGTGTGTGTGTGTGTGTGTGTGTGTGTGTGTGAGGCTCAGTGTGTGTGTGTGTGAGGCTCAGTGTGTGTGTGTGTGTGAGGCTCAGTGTGTGTGTGTGTGTGTGTGTGAGGCTCAGTGTGTGTGTGTGTGTGTGAGGCTCAGTGTGTGTGTGTGTGTGTGAGGCTCAGTGTGTGTGTGTGTGTGTGTGTGTGTGTGTGTGAGGCTCAGTGTGTGTGTGTGTGTGAGGCTCAGTGTGTGTGTGTGTGTGAGGCTCAGTGTGTGTGTGTGGTGTGAGGCTCAGTGTGTGTGTGTGTGAGGCTCAGTGTGTGTGTGTGTGTGTGAGGCTCAGTGTGTGTGTGTGTGTGTGTGTGAGGCTCAGTGTGTGTGTGTGTGAGGCTCAGTGTGTGTGTGTGAGGCTCAGTGTGTGTGTGTGAGGCTCAGTGTGTGTGTGTGAGGCTCAGTGTGTGTGTGTGTGTGTGTGAGGCTCAGTGTGTGTGTGTGTGAGGCTCAGTGTGTGTGTGTGAGGCTCAGTGTGTGTGTGTGAGGCTCAGTGTGTGTGTGTGAGGCTCAGTGTGTGTGTGTGTGTGTGAGGCTCAGTGTGTGTGTGTGTGTGTGTGTGTGAGGCTCAGTGTGTGTGTGTGTGTGTGAGGCTCAGTGTGTGTGTGTGTGTGTGTGTGTGAGGCTCAGTGTGTGTGTGTGTGTGTGTGTGAGGCTCAGTGTGTGTGTGTGTGTGTGAGGCTCAGTGTGTGTGTGTGTGTGAGGCTCAGTGTGTGTGTGTGTGTGAGGCTCAGTGTGTGTGTGTGTGTGTGAGGCTCAGTGTGTGTGTGTGTGTGTGAGGCTCAGTGTGTGTGTGTGTGAGGCTCAGTGTGTGTGTGAGGCTCAGTGTGTGTGTGTGAGGCTCAGTGTGTGTGTGTGTGTGTGTGTGAGGCTCAGTGTGTGTGGGTGTGTGAGGCTCAGTGTGTGTGTGAGGCTCAGTGTGTGTGTGTGTGAGGCTCAGTGTGTGTGTGAGGCTCAGTGTGTGTGTGTGTGTGTGTGAGGCTCAGTGTGTGTGTGTGTGTGTGAGGCTCAGTGTGTGTGTGAGGCTCAGTGTGTGTGTGTGTGTGTGAGGCTCAGTGTGTGTGTGAGGCTCAGTGTGTGTGTGTGTGTGAGGCTCAGTGTGTGTGTGTGTGAGGCTCAGTGTGTGTGTGTGTGTGAGGCTCAGTGTGTGTGTGTGTGTGTGAGGCTCAGTGTGTGTGTGAGGCTCAGTGTGTGTGTGAGGCTCAGTGTGTGTGTGTGTGTGTGTGAGGCTCAGTGTGTGTGTGTGTGTGTGAGGCTCAGTGTGTGTGTGTGAGGCTCAGTGTGTGTGTGAGGCTCAGTGTGTGTGTGTGTGTGTGAGGCTCAGTGTGTGTGTGTGTGTGAGGCTCAGTGTGTGTGTGAGGCTCAGTGTGTGTGTGTGTGTGTGAGGCTCAGTGTGTGTGTGTGTGAGGCTCAGTGTGGTGTGTGTGTGAGGCTCAGTGTGTGTGTGTGTGTGTGAGGCTCAGTGTGTGTGTGAGCTCAGTGTGTGTGTGTGTGTGTGAGGCTCAGTGTGTGTGTGTGTGAGGCTCAGTGTGTGTGTGTGTGTGAGGCTCAGTGTGTGTGTGTGTGTGTGAGGCTCAGTGTGTGTGTGAGGCTCAGTGTGTGTGTGTGTGTGTGAGGCTCAGTGTGTGTGTGAGGCTCAGTGTGTGTGTGTGTGTGAGGCTCAGTGTGTGTGTGAGGCTCAGTGTGTGTGTGAGGCTCAGTGTGTGTGTGTGTGTGTGTGTGTGAGGCTCAGTGTGTGTGTGTGTGTGTGTGTGTGTGAGGCTCAGTGTGTGTGTGTGTGAGGCTCAGTGTGTGTGTGTGTGTGTGTGAGGCTCAGTGTGTGTGTGTGTGTGTGTGTGTGTGAGGCTCAGTGTGTGTGTGTGTGTGTGAGGCTCAGTGTGTGTGTGTGTGTGGTGTGTGTGTGTGTGAGGCTCAGTGTGTGTGTGTGTGTGAGGCTCAGTGTGTGTGTGTGTGAGCTCAGTGTGTGTGTGTGAGGCTCTGTGTGTGTGAGGCTCAGTGTGTGTGAGGCTCAGTGTGTGTGTGTGTGAGGCTCAGTGTGTGTGTGTGTGTGTGAGGCTCAGTGTGTGTGTGTGTGTGTGTGAGGCTCAGTGTGTGTGTGTGTGTGTGTGTGTGTGTGTGTGAGGCTCAGTGTGTGTGTGTGTGTGTGTGAGGCTCAGTGTGTGTGTGTGTGAGCGCTCAGTGTGTGTGTGTGTGTGAGGCTCTGTGTGTGTGAGGCTCAGTGTGTGAGGCTCAGTGTGTGTGTGTGTGTGTGAGGCTCGTGTGTGTGTGTGTGAGGCTCAGTGTGTGTGTGTGTGTGAGGCTCAGTGTGTGTGTGTGTGAGGCTCAGTGTGTGTGTGTGTGTGTGAGGGCTCAGTGTGTGTGTGTGTGAGGCTCAGGTGTGTGTGTGTGTGTGAGGCTCAGTGTGTGTGTGTGTGTGTGTGAGGCTCAGTGTGTGTGTGTGTGTGTGTGTGTGTGAGGCTCAGTGTGTGTGTGTGTGAGGCTCAGTGTGTGTGTGTGTGTGTGTGTGTGAGGCTCAGTGTGTGTGTGTGTGAGGCTCAGTGTGTGTGTGTGTGTGTGTGTGTGTGTGTGTGTGTGTGTGTGTGTGTGTGAGGCTCAGTGTGTGTGTGTGTGTGTGAGGCTCAGTGTGTGTGTGTGTGTGTGTGAGGCTCAGTGTGTGTGTGTGTGAGGCTCAGTGTGTGTGTGTGTGTGTGTGAGGCTCAGTGTGTGTGTGTGTGTGTGTGAGGCTCAGTGTGTGTGTGTGAGGCTCAGTGTGTGTGAGGCTCAGTGTGTGTGTGTGTGTGAGGCTCAGTGTGTGTGTGTGAGGCTCAGTGTGTGTGTGTGTGTGAGGCTCAGTGTGTGTGTGTGTGTGTGTGAGCTCAGTGTGTGTGTGTGTGTGTGAGGCTCAGTGTGTGTGTGTGTGTGTGAGGCTCAGTGTGTGTGTGTGTGTGAGCAGTGTGTGTGTGTGTGAGGCTCAGTGTGTGTGTGTGTGTGTGTGAGGCTCAGTGTGGTGTGTGTGTGTGTGAGGCTAGTGTGTGTGTGTGTGAGGCTCAGTGTGTGTGTGTGTGTGAGGCTCAGTGTGTGTGTGTGTGTGTGAGGCTCAGTGTGTGGTGTGTGTGTGTGAGGCTCAGTGTGTGTGTGTGTGAGGCTCAGTGTGTGTGTGTGAGGCTAGGTGTGTGTGTGTGTGTGTGGTGTGAGGCTCAGTGTGTGTGTGTGTGAGGCTCAGTGTGTGTGTGTGTGTGTGTGTGTGTGTGAGGCTCAGTGTGTGTGTGTGTGAGGCTCAGTGTGTGTGTGTGTGAGGCTCAGTGTGTGTGTGTGTGTGTGTGAGGCTCAGTGTGTGTGTGTGTGTGTGAGGCTCAGTGTGTGTGTGTGTGTGAGGCTCAGTGTGTGTGTGTGTGTGTGTGTGTGTGTGTGTGTGAGGCTCAGTGTGTGTGTGTGTGAGGCTCAGTGTGTGTGTGTGTGTGAGGCTCATGTGTGTGTGTGTGGTGTGAGGCTCAGTGTTGTGTGTGTGTGTGAGCTCAGTGTGTGTGTGTGTGTGTGTGTGAGGCTCAGTGTGTGTGTGTGAGGCCAGTGTGTGTGTGTGAGGCTCAGTGTGTGTGTGTAGGCTCAGTGTGTGTGTGTGAGGCTCAGTGTGTGTGTGTGTGAGGCTCAGTGTGTGTGTGTGTGTGGTGAGGCTCAGTGTGTGTGTGTGTGTGTGTGTGAGGCTCAGTGTGTGTGTGTGTGAGGCTCAGTGTGTGTGTGTGTGTGTGTGTGTGAGGCTCAGTGTGTGTGTGTGTGTGTGAGGCTCAGTGTGTGTGTGTGTGTGTGAGGCTCAGTGTGTGTGTGTGTGTGTGTGTGTGTGTGAGGCTCAGTGTGTGTGTGTGTGTGTGAGGCTCAGTGTGTGTGTGTGAGGCTCAGTGTGTGTGTGTGTGAGGCTCAGTGTGTGTGTGTGTGTGTGAGGCTCAGTGTGTGTGTGTGTGAGGCTCAGTGTGTGTGTGTGTGAGGCTCAGTGTGTGTGTGAGGCTGTGTGTGTGTGTGAGGCTCAGTGTGTGTGTGTGTGAGGCTCAGTGTGTGTGTGTGTGTGTGTGTGGAGGCTCAGTGTGTGTGGGTGTGTGAGGCTCAGTGTGTGTGTGAGGCTCAGTGTGTGTGTGTGTGAGGCTCAGTGTGTGTGTGTGTGTGAGGCTCAGTGTGTGTGTGGGTGTGTGAGGCTCAGTGTGTGTGTGAGGCTCAGTGTGTGTGTGTGTGTGTGAGGCTCAGTGTGTGTGTGAGGCTCAGTGTGTGTGTGTGTGTGTGAGGCTCAGTGTGTGTGTGTGTGAGCTCAGTGTGTGTGTGTGTGTGAGGCTCAGTGTGTGTGTGTGTGTGTGAGGCTCAGTGTGTGTGTGAGGCTCAGTGTGTGTGTGAGGCTCAGTGTGTGTGTGTGTGTGTGAGGCTCAGTGTGTGTGTGTGTGTGTGAGGTCAGTGTGTGTGTGAGCTCAGTGTGTGTGTGTGTGTGAGGCTCAGTGTGTGTGTGTGTGAGGCTCAGTGTGTGTGTGTGTGTGTGTGAGGCTCAGTGTGTGTGTGTGTGTGAGGCTCAGTGTGTGTGTGTGTGAGGCTCAGTGTGTGTGTGT